CTGGATACATTGACAAAATATATCGACAAAATACCCTTACAAAGCACATCGACAGAATACACCGATAAAATACACTGACAGAATACACTGACAGAATACACTGACAGAGTACACTGACGGAATATACTGACAAAATACACTGACAGGGTATACTAACGAAACAGATCGACAGAGTAACGCCTACAAAACGCACCAACAGAATACACCCACAAAACGCACCGATGGAGTACCGAATATATCTGCACTGAAGGAGTTACAAATACCATGCAGTGAAAATCGTAAAGATACCGCAGATTCAGGTGCACTTAGCCTCAACCTTCACAATACTCGAGTTGTTATTTTATAGAGAGTGTCTTCGAACCGATAGTACAACCTGAAAGGCGACGATTCTTCGCGGAAAAATAAATTTCATATGAATCTTCGTTCTAGACGAAATGGATTTTACACTCGAGCACCATTTCACTCGCGTGTCTGACCAATCCTGGTCCTTTCCACTTACACAAAGTACCACTAATTAAATATTCTTCGATGAGTTTTCAACGTTTTTTCGGAATTACTCCACACAAAATAAGCGTCCTAATACTTATGTTCAGCAGTGTACACTTCGACGCCACCCCGTAGAATCAGCCTCGGTACTTATTAGTCGAACCGTGTAATCACGGGAAGTGGGAGGGCAAACCGATGGTGAGGGAGAGAAAAAGACGAATAACCCTCTCCCCGGAGCGACTTAACGACCTCTAAAAAAAGAAGGTAAAAAATGTTTTATTTTGCCTCAGGTTTCACGGGATTCCGCTTGAATCCACTTTCCGGCTGAAATTCGCGTTGAATCGGTTCCCAGGTCGATTCGTGGGTGACTTCCGGCTACTCTTCTTCCTCCCCCTTTTCACCATTGGGAAGTAACAACGAATAATGAGGCTGGTTTTAATTAAATGCCGTGCTTTCTGCCCCCTCCCACGTCTGAGACGAGCGTGTGGGCGTGGGTGCCTTTCAGAATATCGTCCGTGGGACAACAAATGTTCCTCCCGGACGAAACCCCTCGAGAAACCAATTGCAACCGGGATTTTTCAGGGCGGAAATATTATCGAGAGGGATCAATCCCCGAGTCGTTGTTCCTCTTCCGAGCGGAGGGATACGATAACGGCCACTGCGTCCCGGAGGATGAAATAAAGGATCCAAGAAGGATGTGTATTCTGTTCGAGAGTATTTCTGTACGAGTACAAGGGGTGCTTGTCCAGTCTTTGAGAAGCGTATACCGTCCGAGAAAGTTAACCCTTGAACTCAAGTTAACTAAAGTTCGTCCAAATCTGTAATCGGTTAATGTCTAACTTTTGTCATCGAGGATCCGTGGTTTCACCGATACAAGGTAGATCTTAACGTTTTCGGTTGAGTAATTTAAGTACTACTTCTAAGAATAAATAAAGAAAAAAATAGGTCGGTTGAATGTCGACATTATTGACTTGAAAATAATAAGATACAACATATAGGTATATCATTCTTATAATTTTGAAATGATGATTTAAGGGTCTGGGCGTTAATGGGGAAAAAGAACTCTTTCATACAGTGTCTACAAAAGGGAGCATATGTATTGTTTAAAAAATTAATAACATCGTCATTGTTTCGAGTACAATGGTTCTCGACTGTTGGTTTTCAAGAAAACAGAGTTGAAACGAGCGCGATCGAAGCTTTAAATGGAAAGTTTATTTTCACAGCAGTAACATCAGTTATGTTAAATACTAAAGTTAAATGAATTAAAGAATTAATCTCTTTAATTCATTAAAAAATTAAAAGGTGGACATTAAGCCAAATTCATAGATAAACGTCACAAAGACGTATGTATGTTTCTGCTAAAAAATTACTATTTAGCAATGACAACATTCGGCGAAAAACTGACAACTAGAAGTGTCTTCGAAGAGTCATCTTCAAGTTCAGTATAATAATTGACGTGTCGAATATAGCATGAAAAGGTGTAAAAAAAAAGACGTGTATAGCGTCTATTTAACCTTTACTCTGTCTAATAAAACTTGCAATAGTGTTCAATATAATATCAAATGGCTCACTGCACAAGTGTACTATTACGTTTGAAAAAAATGTACAGTAATTCCTCGATGAATGCGACGCGAGCAACGGCGTTATTCCCAGCACTGGGGGAGTCCCTCTGTGGAACCAATCAAAACAGAGTAAACAGAAGCTAAGCAAAGGCTCTGCTTAAAGCAAAAAACAAATTTATGAGGGGCTACTGAAAACCTTTCCACCTCGCCACGAATGCTCGGAAGTGAGCCCGAGTACGTCGCACTCATCGAGACAATCCTGTACAAAGTTATACGTTCGACTTTCGATATATTCCAGTACGTCTGCAAAAATATACAAAATATCTTCTTCAGTTTTCCCAATCATTGTATCTCCGTTCGTCTACGCCATAACGAAACGATAGATCTCTCGCAGAGGATCGAGACGTGAAACTTCCGAACGCAATTTGTCACGAAAGTTCCCGCCGATAAAAAGAACCATCTATCCGTCCCGGGAACGGTGGTATCGATGGCGGAGAAAAAACACGAAAAACGAAAAAGAAGAGAAAAAACAGAAGCACCGGGAGGTCTTTAAAGACTGATTCACGGTCGAGGACTGGATCGTCGAAGTGTTCCTGCGATAATCCGCGACAAGAGGATATAGGTCCGCGATACAGTAAATCCGCGATGAGTGTTCGAAGGCTCCACGACATTCAACATTAAATATTTCACAGACTAATGGACATATGCGGCTGAAACAAATATCATTGGCCTTAGAATTCCAAGCTCTATCACTGTGCTGAATCCCATTAACCTTTTCAATGCTAAATACTCCCGGCGGAAGCAATTAGAGTTGGGCAGAATTTTATAAAAGTAGTATTATCTTATAAAAATTGATACTTCCACATTTAAACAAGTAAAAATGATGAAATACTTTTTTTTATCTTTTATTCGTTATTCGAAACTTTTTATCTAGATAATGAGTTTACCCATCTCTGGACACAATCCGCATGGACGGCACGCGCCTAGCGGTTGCGATCGTTAGGGACGGAATACTTTTTTTGCTAATATGAACTATGTCGATTAAATACGCAAGACGCAACTAAGTTATAATCGTAATTCCTATACGACAAATTAAATAATACAGGAAAGTTATTTCGGAACGTCGATTCTTTTATTAAAAACAAGCGCAAGGAAGATCGAAAAAATTGGTAAATGCATATATGCGTCCTTAGTCCACACATATAGCTTTCACTGGACGCATATATGCGTCAATTGCACTCAAAGGGTTAAAAAGTCAGCGTTACACCTGGGGACCTCTCCTTGTCAGTGTCGAGTATCCTTCGAACACTCATCGAGGATTTACAGTTAAGGTAACAGAGTACTTTCTCGTTTAAGTCGATCTTACCTCCACGTTGCACGTCGGGGACCGGAAGTGCGGGAAGTCTCGCGCTCACGACGGAAGGATACCCTCGCTCGTTCCTCCCCCACGTGGAGAAACGCTTCAAGGAAGAACCACTAGTTCTTCCAAATACGAGGAAACCAAGATGATCCAATCGGAACTCGAAGATCCTCCTGCACAAGTCACACTTCCTCGACGATCTATCCCGCGACCTGGTGATCGATTCCCCGCGATCCTTCGCAGGACATAAGATTCAAAAGATCGGGAATTTTTCACGCGTTCGATGAACAGCGATTTCTCCCCCACAAAGTTTTCTGGCTCCTGAAAAGATCCCTGCCACCACCGTCAGATCAATTAAACTGGAACCCAACACTCGAAGATCTACTCTGAGATACGATTCAGTCTGATCTGCCGTCTGAATCGTCCAGTTTGATGACCTCGGAACGATCTTCTAATGTTCTTCAAACAATCCCAGTGGTCCCCGCCGTATCAAGGATCCTCCAGAAAAATGGACGTTGCAAACCTTTCTCAGAACTCCCGTCGAAGACAAGACAGGTCTCCACAAGATCGATTCAACAAGATCGACGGTTCTCCAACTGGTTCGGATGATCGATCGATCTAACGTCGCGGATGGTTAGAACGACCAAGGGTTGGAGAGAAGTGCCATACGTCGGTCACAAACCAGACTAAACGCGGTAAAGGAGTCGTGTGGTGAACGCGAGAACGGAAACTGGATTCGCTGGGGGAACGAGCATTCGCGGAGAGACCGATCCCGACGACGATCACCGACTGAGGAGCGCCAGGAACTCGACGACGTAGCCAACGGAAGAAAGGATGAAGAGAAGGTGGCGGTGGCGGCCCCCGGGGCGCCTGCGCTGCCAATTTTACACATGGTCTACGAGAGCACGTTATATAGAACTAACTACTAACCGTGACCGAGTGTAACTACAGACGGGGTAAAGAACTAGTTGTGTCGTCTAGTCGACGAGCTAGTTGTGCCTTGGAACGTCTGAGACAGGGACTTCTACCGAAACGAAAAATACCGGTATTATATCGGTATTTTCTGTTGTACCTTCACCCTATGTAACCCTATATAAAACCTACCCTTATAGAAACCTGAAGAATACCGGTATTTATTTCGGTTTTCGGTAATATATCGGTTTCGGTATAGCTTTGATGGCATAATACCGGTATCAAAATCATACCGGTTATAAGTCCGTGGGCATAATACCGGTATGAAATTCATACCGGTTTTAAGTCCCTGGTCTTAGATACAGCGATCGACGTGTTTTAACCATTTCGATGTTAAATGTCCAGTTGCTGGACCCAAATAACCAAGCTAATTTTGCTTATAAATTCCATACTTGAAAGAATAAATAAAGAAATTAATTCTATTGATCGTATATGTTATTTTCGTTTAAATGTATTGCAATCGTCCTCACTATCTGATTGATCCCTAGCAACCATTTCGACATCGGTTTCTTACAACAAATTTTCACTCATACTTGACTGACTTTATATAAGAGACTGAACACTAGAGTGATTTATAGGGGATGATCTGATAGGATCAAGGAGTAAAAAGAGACACTCACCTCCCCATCGCCGTCGTAGTAAACGAGGAACCGTCTGGTCAGAACGAACCAGCGTTGCTTGTAGTTGACGGGGGTGAAACGTTTCTTGTTCTGGGAACGTTTCACCATGAACCCCTGCCTCACCACGTCCCCGCTTTTCGGCTCCAGCTTCCCGTCTTTCCCCGCCATCACCGACGGAGGGCCACCCTGTCGACAGAATACAATTTTGTCCGTATTTTAATTCCGACAAATACGCTGATCGAACTGAAACAACATTATAGAAAAAACAAACAAATCAATCGAGAATCTCGATTCTTCTTCTAATTCATAAAACCAAAAACGTAAACAAAAATGGCGGCCACACTCCACCGTTTATGTAAGTGGATAACCTATGATAGCAAGTAACATTGTGGGTACAGTGTTTCCTCGATGAATGCGTATTCCGCAATTTCCGCCTTGCCATGAAAGCTCCGAAGTGGACTCCGAAGTACGTCGCACTCATCGAGACATTCCTGTAATTCGAATTTAAGGGAATACTCATAACTACTGCTCAACGGTGGAATTTTCCTGGATACAGAATGGATAATTCTGAATGGTATTTTTAACCCATAATGGTACCACTTTCTACCCATAAATCGGATGGGACGCGTGTAAATACGTACAAGAGATAGCTAATGCGAGTAAAACCCACGAACTCAATGTTCAAATTGCTTGTCACCCAGGAACACTGACGATCTCATCGAAATCACCTGCATCATACGGTCCCGTTTTCATTGACTGTTCCCCCAGCAATCGAAACCGTTCGATTCCTGGTTTTCATCAAACAAGCCCGAGCTTTTCTCAAAAAACCGTAACTTTATTAAAGACCAATTACGTAACTTCTCCAATGAACTTTCAATATCTTTCGAGACCTTTCTCATCGAAATATTCTCATTCGAAAACGTACATTCGCCAATTACCGTGGCGACTCGAGGAACTGATACCTTTCTACGGTTTAAAACTTTTGCTTTAACACTTTCTGTAACGAGAGCTAGAACCCTTTGTAACACTCAAAGGCTAAAGGATCATCGTGAACGACAAGAATCGTTGCAGAAGGAATCTTTCTGGAAACCTTAACTGTCTACACGACACATAATTAAATTCTAAGAGCACTCACATTATAAAACGCGCCTTTAGGAAAACCTCCGTCGTCTACGACGTCTCGTACGAGAAATCACCCGTTACTGCGAACCAAGGATGACTGTTGCGGTCAGCAACGTGTCCCGCCATTTACACTGACTCAGATTGCAGACCACAATGTATGCCACACTGATATTAGTACAGAATAGTAAAACAGACCAACAGTGGCAATAGAACGTGGTCGACGAGGAAGAAAGAATGATGGGACATAACTAAAATCGAACCGAAGGGTGGACGCAAGTAGAACACGGGGTGTTAAACTAATAACAAAAGCTTTGCGTAGATGGAACCACAACGTGGGTGTCGTGCATATCATTCAATGGAAAAATCATGTACATTGACGAGGGAGAATTGTCTGTTTTTAGAATTACGAGCAAAATAGAATTGTATCGTTCGATGTAATTATAAACAGTACAACGAAACAAAAACATCGTTATTCCGCAACGACATCCAGAGGAGTTAATAAAATTAGCGACATTGTAGGTTCGTTTTTAGACGACTACTGTATTGTTGCGATACCGTTTGAACTCCTCCATTTTTCTGCGATTTTATTTTTCTGTTTTTGTTTAAATAATCGAGGTAGCGCTCCACGTGACGCTGTTCATTGTAATAAACAAAGAGGACCCGGGCTGTTCAGCATCTGGCGTAAAATTGCGGCTGTAAATAAATCGAGTAAATAGCGTTTAATACGACACAACAGCGAACTCTATCGTCGTTTATAGCTAGAACGGATGTAACGCAGATGCGGTCGTCGTTGGTACGCACACACGCGACCACAGAGAAAATTGCGTTAGCTGCGTCCACCACGGTCACGTGGCTCTCGCGCCAAGTTCTTTCCGGTCGAGTATCCGGAAGGATTGTAAATCCTCGCCTAGATATACAGGCTGATCCTAAACTGACGATGGCTCCCTACCACTGTCGTAAAATACTAGGAAATTTATAAAAAGCGACGACAGACGTCATAGATGGAAGCTGTATGGATGATCTAGATGGAATTGGGCAATAGTGTCCAACGGTAGGACTGGAAGTTTAGCAATCTTGCGTTACGTAACGTCGGCGAATTCCCCTATTCCAGCTGGTTAAGTGGAGATTTCAAAGGGAAGAAACATGAAAAAATGATTGGAGTCGTAAAAGAACGATTTAGTTTTAATAGATCATTTCCAGTTTTGTAGGGACCTTTCTGTACGTTGTCTATGGTCGCTACCTTATTCTGGCACTGGTACCTAAGTGTTCGCGAAGGAGAAATTAAAGAAATATTGAAAATCGTAAGGGGAAACATTATGAAATGTCTAGACACACCAAGACACTCCTCTTTTCGACATATGGTCCCAAATTTTAAGACATTTTTTTCTCGATCTTTATTTCAGGTAGTTCCTCCATTCTGCTCCCCCCCCCTCCCCAGGTTTTATAAACAACCTGTGAATAAAAGATTAAAGTTGTGGGAGAATCAAGTAGATAGGCTATACTGACACAATGGAAAATACGATTGAATCATCTTTATGTCAAAATCGTTCCTTATTCCCCACGATTTACCACAACTTTGTTTGAGCCACACCCCTTAAACGACCTGTACTACACATTACCATCGGACTGTTTGGCTACGTACGTTAAAATTTTCAGTATTTATTAACCAATAATTAATTAAGATACAGTTTTTGTGTTTAAACTTCAATGGTTGGGTCACACGAGACCCAAGACTAAAAAATTTCCATCGTTCCTTCATTATCCGTTAGCCAGTATATCAGTTTTCCGAATAATCGTAAGCAATTACTTACAAAATAACATTTTTATTGCGTATTTTTATAGAATCGAAGTTTTGGAAAATTGAACTATCTTTGTTCTAAGTTCACAATAAGAACACGGGGAAAAAGATGAATTTATTTTTAACGTTTCACCATTTAGGTGCAGAACGGTGATCAAGAATTGTCTTTACATAAACGAGTCTTAAAGACATAAGTTTAGGAAAATAAAAAAAATGCGTTATATTACTTTTTTTTCGTAATAGTGTTAAACAACTATTCCTGTAATAATATTATTAGACAATCCGATTGTAATAACTACAATAGTAAAATCTGAAATGAAGTTCACAACAGTTACAATACTTTAATGTTGATATAAAATATAATATCAATATCTAGTAACAATATATAGATGTAAAATGAATAATATTCATAGACAATCTTAATCAAATAATCACAATATTGTAATCTATGAAAGATAATACATTCAAAAATATAAAAAGCTGATTACAATATCCGCATGTGTATAATGTAAAAGATTAATTAATTTAAAGAAGTTGTCAGTATTACTAGTTCCTTATGAAGTATTTAATCAAATTGTTTCTATTGCATATATCATTATTAACTATAATTAAATGTATCTGTCAATACAAGCATGTAATCTCTTACGGAAACTGTATTTGAACTGAGATAACAAGCGAATACTGAAACTATATGACTGTTTAATGATGTGGAAAGAGAAATGAAATGATTGATAACAAGAAATCTAAGGGTGTTTCTCAGAAAACTATGGTTTTAAATATCTAGTAATAAATCATAAAAATTCAATAGGATAAAGTATGAGAATTACATTAAATCGTAAAGTGTGTTTTGATGTCTTCTTATGGACATTAATATATTTATATTAAATAAAATATCCAAAGTTACTTTAAATTCCATTTAGGAGTCAGAAGTATGTAACACACAATTTTATACAAAATTATAGAAGAAATATGCTGCTGAATGAAATTATACCAATGAAATCAATCACACAAGGCGTACCATGTAACATCACACGGAAACAACTGAACACCACATAAATTCCACATACAAAAACCATGTTATATTACAACAGAATAATAAACATATTAATGGACATAATATACACAACCTATACCTACAATGTTTCTGTAAAACAAAACACTATCATTCTAATCAACAGAACACCAAAACAATCAGAATCCATGACAATACCCAAAATCCTATATCCTTCTTTCTTTTAAAAACTATGTTACAAATATCCATCATACACATGGTATGCTACAGATCCCATGAAAACAAAACATTGCTGTCAACAAATATGTTCTTTCCATAACATCTATGAAAAAACACATGTAATTACACAGACAATTGAACCTACTGTCGAAATTTCCATGAAACCTTTTAATAACGCCTTTAAAAACTCATGTTTCGTGGAAGAAACAAATACTAAACAACGACCCGGGGTCTACGTTCGCACAACAATCGTATTTGTTAGGAAATTTTTTTTTCAAATCTGACTCGCTGTGCGCGTTTCTTCGTCACGATAATTATTGAGAAACGAAAACAGACGTCACGGGACAATTCGTTGGTGATTGCCGAAAATAATAGAACGGCGAGATGAACGGATAACGCGGCTAGTTTGTGGTTATCCTGACACTCGTGTCGCGGGATTCTATTCTCGCGGGGATGTTCAACGGGGATTAGACGATCCTGGATGAGATTCGTGAGAGAAAATCAACTCACCATGCGCCGGGTCGCCGCTAGCAGGCCGTGGTTCTAACGCTTGTCAGAAACATCACCGGTGCCCAAACAAAGAATTCACGTGGAACGGAACACATACACACACCGACAATCTGTCAAACGGAGACGTTGGAAATTCACGAGATAGCAGGAAATACCTCACTACGTTAGTAAAGCATTTATCCGAAACGTTGCGCGGCGGTCACCGACGTTCAATCGTTCTGGATAGAAAATCTAGCGATATTCTGGATTGAACGGCCTTGATTTACTGGCCGAACAACGAAAATTCCCGGCCCGGGTTCGACGTCCTGGCAGCGTTAACGTATTAACTGGCCAACAGAGAATACCTGTTGACTCATTTTAAAAAAACAAGATGGCGATCCCGAAGGCTGCTTTACATGTTGTTTTGCTTTTGCTCGGACGGTGTTTACGCCTCGTAAATACACGGTGAAAAGTATCGTGCAATACGAGAAGAAATGCTGTTACTGAATATTCGTTTCTGAGTAAATAACTACCGATGTACGAAGATACAGTGAACGCTACAAGGATCGAATTGGTATAACCTAATACCTACCTAGTAGTGGATATGAGACTAAGATTAATGGTTTAGTCGTACATACATGGACATGGATTTTCTTATCGTATAGTGCCTTTGTGTTTTCAATAATAACTTATTAATATTGTATAAATAGGGTTTGAATTGTAACAAAAAAAAAAAAGGTACAACTGGGCGCGAAACTACGCGCTTGCGTATTGTAGTTCGGCGCTCTGATCAGTTTGACAATAGTGTTTTCTGCAGTCAAACTTAACCTGTATGTTTTCGGAAGGAATGCGCTACGTTCGCTGACGTTATTTGTGGAGTTTTATCTGTAGTACTGATTTTAAATACAGGACATGGCTGCCCCCGAGGCAATACAAGTCAGCTCATTGCCGTTACCTCCGGTTCAGTACATTAATTTGTACACGGACGAAAATGTCCGTCGAGGCAGAGCACCACGACCACCACCGCCTATACACGATACTTACTCGATGTTTGGAAATGTATTTAACGCGGATGATACAATTATCAGACCCCTCGAGGCACAGGGGATCAAGAGGCTGTACCCCCAACACTTTGATCGTCGACGAGAATTGAAGAAACTGAACCACTCTTTACTAGTTAATTTTCTGGATTTGATAGATTTACTTGTACAGTGCCCTGACAGCCCAAGGCGTGCTGAAAAGGTAATTACTTTCATTTGGAGATAACAATACAGTGAAGTATTAACTCGGCAGACTCTTAAAGAGAAACTTGGGTTCTTGATTAACAAAGAACATAGTGATAGTAAAAGAGTGATAATGCACATAGTACTGTAAAAGAATTACCCCTCTAAATTATACTTGGAGTCGCCAATTTTATCGGGCCAAGGAAATTGTGTAAGCTACATGTCTGTTAAATAGATATATTGAATAATCAACCATTTCCCTTGTGTCATGGTATCCTTTGAAATAGCTTATAATTTCATAGGACTAATGGGGAAGCATGACGAAGAAACATAAAGTGGAAATGTAGTTTATCATTCATACCAATTCAGAAAACTTTGAAATGACGAATACAATCACAAGCCTCTGGACCCTGGCTAAGCTGGGCTCACAAGAAGAGTTTATGTTCGTAGATCCTTTGAATTTATTATCTCACTGTATTATTATCTCCAAGTATGCTATTGCATGCAAATTGTGGAGCAAATTCTGATTATTCCTTCTATTATTCATAGGTCGAAGATCTTAGCCTTTTATTCATTCACATTCACCACTTGCTGAATGAATTTAGACCTCATCAAGCTAGAGAAACATTACGAGTTATGATGGAATTGCAACGCAGACAACGTATTGAAACTGCACTCAGGTTTCAAAAACATTTAGAAAAGGTATCATCTTTGCAATTATTAAATTGTAGGATATATGGTCGAATAGACTCCTATGAACTCAATTATAGAAATTAAAATCAAACAGAAATTCATTATTGTACACATCTAACTTATATAATAGATATTTATTAATGTTTACTTTAGAAAGAAGGCAAGAATCAGTTGAACATGTTTGGAAATGAAATATTTACCCGTCAAAACTCTTAGCTATACTAGTCTGAAAAACAAATTAGAGTAAATGTTCAATTTTGTTTCAGGTTCAAGAAATTCTACAGCATGCATTGCAGATGTTACCAGACTCATCTGAACTAGATTCAAAATTGGCTATAAACACAGATGCTATGGAATCAGTTGATAGTTTAGGATCTGAACAACAAACATCAGATCCATGCAGCCCGTGTGATCGTATTATGTGCAAAGTAATTGATGATATGATTTCATCGAATGGACTATTTTAAATAAGGGAATATTTATAGAGTACTTTTTAATATTATCTTGTAAAAATTACTGTAATTATAAATGTATCATATACTGTAGTGATAATAATTCCACAAAAGCCGCTAGTTTTATTTATTAAATGATACGAAGCAAACGAAATTTTTGTGATTTTTTTTAATTTATACATTATATATACAGAGGAAACATAATATATATTTCTGGTAAATATTCTTTATTCAATTAGCAATGTAATAAATTGAATAAAGTAATGTTTACATATTTGAAACAATGGTAATTATCAACATTATTTTTTTAATACAATAGATTAATGCATACAAGAAAGTTTTTGTGCTGCTCTCTAATTGACAAAACAATTGCACTTAAATGTTGACCTGAAGCAGATACGAATTAATAGTAACCGATAAGTTATTTTTACAAATCTTAAAACTATATGCAGAAATATTTTTACATTATCGGGCATAAAAAATACAACGTAATTATGCAATATTGGTATTTATTAAGTTAAAAGATAATATATTCATCAAGTATTACTGTTACATAATTTTTGTTTGATGGTGGATAGGAAAAGGACACAAATTATTCTTTTAAACTCACCTTACAAAACAGCTACCATCAATACATAAATAAAAGACAATATATATACATGTATATATATCGTCGTGCATCCGCTCCTGAAAAAAGGAGATTCAATTATAAACGCTCCTGGTAGCTCTCCCTTCACTGGATCCATAAATAGCCTGTAATAAAAAAATTAGGTTTCCTTTCTATAACCACTCCTGGCTCAGCAATTGGTATTCAGCATCTGAAAAATACGAACTGTATAATGAAATACAACTTTATTACACAATCAGAGAAATTTTCTGACTTTCGTATCTTTCACATAGTTTTAATTTTTGTATTATTGATGTGGAATATTACTTTGCCACAGTATTTTAATATTTGTGTCACCATGCTTATTAACATTTCATCAGATTTTGAGCTAATACGAACCATACATGTACAAAACAGCGGTAATGCAACAGCACGTGTATGTATAAAAAGCAAGAAACACTAACAGAATGAGTCAACTATATTGACTATAGTCACTGAAAATATAGAAAACAAGAATAGTCGTTAAATTTCTCTGATTCAGACATCGAAATGAGATCAATCGCTTCATCCATGGTCCTGTAGTTGCTTCAGTCTGAATTTTCTGTTCACAAAGAAGCAAATAAAACAGGATGAAGGAAAAGGAATAGGAAGAACCGGGAGATTGGGGAATACATTTTGATAGTATTTTAACATCCAAACTTCTTGAGGGAGAGAAAAATTGTCTGTCTTTCGTAAATAGGCGTGACGCCAATGTCCATATCGTAGCACAATCTGGTCATTATACAGTTTTAATTTTGAATATTCAGTTTCGAATGCGTGATAATCTTTGTTCCAACATTTTGTGCTTCTTCAACTTCTTTGACTGGTCAGTGTACAATTCTTCATACTTTTTTTTCTCTTCTTTACATTATTTTCTACTGCCAGTTCAGGTACCTGAACTTTTCCCATAGTATAGACTTTTTAAAATCCACTGTCTTGTTCTTGCAATTTCTCTTGATGTTTCCAATCGCTTCTCGAAAGTCCTGGTCTCTTCGAATTGTATTTTACTATCTGTTCTAATGATCCTTCCAAAACAGAACTTCTTACAACACCGTGAGTATATCATGCCACACAAATATTCTTTTCTTCTAATGTCAATAACTGACTGAGACAGTGATTAACACTGACGTTTCGTGAATGATTGATTTTTTTTCTTGTATTTGAAACTCGTACAGGTAGTTAAAGCTTTCACAAAAACACTTTCTTCACACTACGTTTGTAGGACAAAAAAGAAGTTTTATCTCATTTGTCACTTCCCTTAACCCTTTGCGGACGGGACGGTTCGAAGCTAACCACACCGTGGGACCGAGCTGCTGTCACGATAGTCGTTTGAAATTGCCAGCGCACATTTCTGCCTACATGCTATTATCGTTCATAGCACTCCAAGATGCCAAATTCTGAACATATATATGCATGCACAGATTCTCCACAGGATAAATAAAATGTTTATTTGTTTATTCACGACTTTTATTAGTTGTTTTTGCCGAACGCATATATGAGTTCATCGGCCAGATTGATGGTTTACGCAGAACACATATATACGGCGGTAGTCCGCAAAGGGTTAAAAGCACTCTCCGTAAATGATCACTTTTACATTCCTGATTTGTATGTATGTACATTTTACAGGCCTGGTATAGTCTTTGATATTATTGCAGCCCTTGCCATTTTATGCTTGGTACTCAAGCAGTCAGACGGTTAATAAAAATTCTTTCTCCATGTACCACGACCTCTGGGTCTGTAACCACCTCGGCCACCTGACCTATTTCCTCTAAATCTACCACGACCTGTAACAGAAACAGAAAACACCCTAAATAGCACACCTAAATACCGCATCAAGAAATTACAATTGATCGTCTTAAATACCATAATTTGATGATATGTTTGAACTGTATTTGCCACTAGGTGGAGTATATATTTCTCTCTTACTTTTGTCCTCTTTACTACGCTTATTCGAGTTACTGTCATTGCCAAACGTAATCGGAGTATGTCTCTTCTGAACGGAGGAATTCTTTTCGTTCTAGAATAAATACAATAAATTCAACAAACTTATCGATATAACATTTTCTCGCGAAGCAACAAACTAGTTCTGTCGATTTACCTTCTTATCAGTAACCGACGTTTTCCACGAAAGATGTATAACACTTTTAAAGCTAGGCGGTGAATGAAATAAATCTTTAATTAAAGTATTAATATTGTTGGTTGTCTTCAAGGCGACAACCTTTAACTGATTCTCCTCGGATCTCAGTTCTTCCTCAGACTTGCCGCTGATCGCTTCCCGTAACTTTTTTATGTAACCTTGAATACCACGCGCAAAATACTGTAATCTTAGCCTGAATTCTTTAAGCTGTTCCGGATCTTTCATTAAAAATTCAGGTGTTTGCTTGCATAACTTATGGAAGGAATACATAAGACACTCGACATGACTAAACTCCAATTTCGGTACCTCTGTTATTTCTGTAGCTGGTGGAAGCGGCATATACGTCTAAAAATAACGAATTACAACTATTACCTGCTACAAGAAACATTACATGTCCGTAGATCATCTTTGAAAACTCTTGTTACTCACTATAAGGGTATTATAGAGCTGTTGCACTTTCTCTTCTGGTTTATCAATTGTCCCACAAAAGACAGTTAACTCAGCAAGAAGCTTTAATAATTCCAGTTGTACGTCCCTACCATCTGGCGCAGTGATTAAAGAGAGATGCGGCAAAACTTGTACACAGATGTAAGAGACGAAACGCGACGAGTCTATCTGAGACTGTAGCAAAAAAAGTGAATTCATTAGATACCAAAAAAGAAATATGCTCTTGTTATGAGACCTGTAAACAATACCCACGCTAAAAAAAGGAAGTGCATGCTTAATACATTGCACAAGCCTATTCCATTGTTCAACATTAGTATGTTTAAATGGTTCAGATAATTCAGCTTGTTCTGTGGTAATATCTACTAGTTCCTGTTGTCCGTTAACTGTTGAACCTAATCTAGTCCAGGCAAGTATTTCCATAATACTATGGAACTCATCCGCAGTCACATCCTGCAATGAAAAGATTTTATGAAAATTAGTGAAGAAAAAAGCAAGGGAACATACTTATTCTGTGTCTAGTCTTATCGAACTTACTTGTAATACTTTCTTGCATTCTGAAATTAACAGGTCTTCTGGTTCCTTAACAATAACATCATGACCTATTGCTTTCAGTTTTGTTGCTAGGAACTTTATGCAACGTTCACGTGTTCCGTCATCACCATTAATAATTTGACTGAAGAATCCACTTATTGTGCCTAAAAATATACAGATTGTATATTTACATTTACCATATTAATAGAGAATGATAAAACCAATATTTAAAAAAAGATAACATTACATTAGTATAAACAATATATGTAATAAGTGTTAATTAGCAAATGGGTTAATAGACACACAATATATTTCTATACCTTTTGGATCAGTCTTCATAAGGGTCATAACACTATTATGAACTACAGCTAATTCAGATGAATCTTGAGCTTGGAGCAACTGAGCTAAAATGTCTGCAATTCTTGCTGTGTGTTCCTTATTATCTTTGCATAAAGCAGGTAAATCTTTAATAGCTTGTTTTCTAATCTGTAAATTAATTTAGATTATATTATATCTGCATACATAATGTCTATACACTGACATACATATATGTATCCGAGTCTGTAAATAAACTATGACATTTGAATTATATAAACAATGAAACATACAGCCATGTCTTCATCTTCACAGAGGTCCAGATGAGCATCTATAGCTTGATCAGCCAATTTTGGAAAGTACTTAAAGAACCTTGCTATAAATTGCGATGCTAATCGTTTTTCTTTAGGTGAGCCTTTCACTGCTGTGAGAATTTCTAGGTATTCTTTCTCATGCTTTAACATAAAAAAACCTTAGATGTTATTATACATATACATATGCATACATTTAATGCTCTCTTTGTGTAAGAGTAGATTTTACAAGGGTATTTTATGATAATAGCTAAATCTAAATTTTGTCCCTTATTCTCCATGAAATATTTATATTGATACACTGATGTATGCTACATACATCCCAAACACTCTATTTGCATGATTATGTGGATAATAGTAATTATGTCTAAATACTTTTTGTAACTAGGTACTGTTCTTTCGGGAATTGGAATATGAAACTTTCGAAATTTACGAAATCTGAGATATAAAATGTATCGCTAACATCAATAAGCATACAACGTTCCGTGAAAACTCTACAGAACTAAACGTGGTTAACGAGTATAACCATGTTTGTACATTACCTCGGCCAGTTTGTCTTTGGCGTCCGCCAAAATGCCAAAATTTTTGTACAGCTTTTCGATACTGTCCGTGCTCATGTTAAACCCTTTATGTAATCTCGACACTGAAAGGCACAAGCCACATAAATACAATCATATACTTCAAAATGAGAAACGTAGCCGGCCAAGCACCACGCCAAGAGAAACGACAAAGATGGCAGCGATTCCCTCTGTATACAGATATATGCTCGAGGCACAACAGAATAAATCGTTTCACCGTGGCGCTCAGGTCGGACGCGAAACGATAAACGTTATTGGATCCTTCCTTAAATTTAAAAGAATCTTGAACCGTGTGTACGAACATAATTGTTGAGAACGCATAAAAAATTTTGCACAATACAAAATAAATAAAAACCAGTACATTATAATGCACATAAGATGTTTTTCGATGAATATATGTAACTGAACATAATATGATGTACATGCAAGGCTGCGCATTTTGTGCGTTTATAACTCACAAAAATTCAAAACGTATTAAAGCAAAACATTTAATGATGTTCAATAACGCCAGTCAATTAATGAAAATACATATCTATTCCATTCTGGCTCTCTTTGACTGATGTACCTATATATAAAGATGTGAATCTTCATCAATGTCTGCAATCTACACATTATTAACCAGATATATGTGGAATAAGAATAAATGAAATATAAATAATCAATTATGTAAAAATTTAATATTTTCAGTAAACTCTGTATATATATATATAATTTTATAAAAATTTGAAAACAATATATTTGAAATTTACAATTTTTCTGTAAGTTCTGGTACTGCCTTGAACAAATCAGCAACAAGGCCATAATCCGCTACTTGGAAGATTGGAGCTTCTGGATCCTTATTAATTGCAACAATTGTTTTTGAATCTTTCATACCAGCAAGATGCTGAATTGCTCCAGATATACCCACAGCAATGTACAAATCCTAAACAGTCGAAATTATAATAAAAGATATTTTAAAAATGTATCAACAACAAGGTACAATAAGAAATTTAATTACAGGTGCAACAATTTTTCCAGTCTGTCCAACTTGCAAATCATTGGGCACAAAGCCAGCATCAACAGCTGCACGGGATGCACCAACAGCTGCATTAAATTTATCAGCCAGTGTATACAGTAACTTGAAATTATCTCCAGATTTCATTCCTCTTCCTCCAGAGACAACAACTTTTGCAGATGTTAGTTCCGGTCTATCAGATTTTGTCAACTCCTGTTTAATGAACTCGACCAGATTCATCTTATAATCACCAGCAGGTGCAGATTCACATTTAGCACTGCCTCCTTCCAATGGAACTGGTTCAAACGATGTACCTCTCACTGAAACTACCTTTATTTTGTCTTTGCTCTTCAAAGTTTGAATAGCATTTCCAGCATAGATTGTACGAATAAATGTATCAGGTGCTTTGACTCCAATAATATCACTTACTGGAGAAACATCTAATTTAGCTGCAACCTTTAAAGATTGATTTTGTTATGTTATGCATTCATAAAATCAATATTACTGTTAATAGAAAAGACATAATGTGGTGATTCATTAGACTGGGTGATCATTTACTCCCATGTTTTAAATGAGGCAAATTGATGAGAACAGACTATAAATAGACACTTATATTATTGAATGATTTGAATGGATAAAAGTTCTTTTTATTCTGTTTTTCTAAGTTGCATCTGTTATAAATGCACAAAATCTGCAGTATAATTATCAGCAATGTTTTTTTAAAGTACTAAACATTAATGATATGTGCAACCTTGTGTCATTAATAAGACCATGAAGAAAGATCTCCTTTACAACCACATTCTATCATTTCCATTCCCTATATCCAACAAATTTTTTTTAAATATATTTACTCTTGGTAATAGTGATTTACTAAAAGCAGTGGCTCCAGCTATAATATGAGTAAACTTATGTTCGTTTTGGGTTGCAACAATAAGAGAAGTTAATGCCTCTGGAAGAAATCCTTTAAATGCATCATTTTCAGCTACCAAGACTTTAGAAACACCATTTGCTTTGCTAACAGCTTGGGCAACTAAATCACATTTGGTACCAGCAACCAATACAGTTATATCTCCACCAATCTTTTTTGCAGCACTTATTGCATTGCATGTAATAGGTAATAATGATTCATTATTATGTTCTGCTATGACCAATGTGGACTCATAACGTGCCAATGTACCAAACTGAAAATGTAAAAAAAATGTATGAAGCATTCCAAGAACATTTAACATATGATAACATATGTTCATTTATAATGTTGAAAAGAAATGTGATTAAATGCAAAAGAGGGCTTAAGAGTATTATAAGTAGGGAATTGTTTTTAAGAGACTATGGATTTTATGCACCTACTGCATAATCTAAAATGCAGTAAAGTTTATTGAGGTTGTTATTTTATTTACAAACTTATTAAATAATCCATTATTAATTCATAAAAATTTATATTTGCATAAACATCCGCAATCTAGGTTTTATGCTTCCCTCCTTGTAAAAATGTACAATTTTAATGAAAATAATTTGCAAACGTCAAGTAGATTTGGTTAGTCCAAAAAACATATGATAATCAGGTAAATAGAAACTTCCGCTACTTACTTTGTTACTAACGCGAAACGTTCGAAAACACGTAGCAAACATTTTTTACAATTATATTTCTAATACACTGCCTATTAATGGGTTATTAAATAACTAAATAAAATTAATTCGTATCTAAAGTCCAAAGTCCTTTGGTAAGGGGATAACACATCATTCGTTCCTTTATTGTGCTTAGATATTTGATACGTGATTTGATTACAGATAATTACAAAAATTCGCACCTATATTAAAGGTTTTAAGAAACAAAAGCAAAATAATTATGTTCCTCTAAGAATATTAAGATGAATCTATAAATTTACAAATTTAATATTATTACATGTGAACTACATATATGTATACATATATATATAAAGCGCTCCAATTTCAACAAATACATATTTTACAAAAACAGTTCAGAAAAATTTAGTAACATTTTAACAATATATATTAAACTTATTCAAATATAAAACTAGATGGTATATATTTAATAATTATTTAAATATAAACATGCATTGGCGCGCATGCAACAGGTGCATTAATATAATGCACCTTAAATGTATTTAAGTATTTATGCTTCTTTCAGTTTCAAATAATAGAAACACTATTTTTGATACAAAGAAAGTAACAACACCGTAATTACTTTAGCAAAAATATGTAATTTTTAATTAAAAGTTTTATATATTCATAGTATTTAGGAAATTGCAGATCCCGTGATTATATTTTAGCTGTTGGTAATAAATGTCTAGTGACATTTCAGTACAGGAAATAACACCCAGTAAGTTTATCGTTCATTTCGTGAGTTGCGGTTAAAGCAAAATGGTAATGGCTCGGTTAACTTGGGAAATCCGACAAATTATTTGACATCCTATTAGTTATATCAAAATAATTTTCAGAATATCATTCTGAAGGTATTTATGAGTCTTGTTATTTGTTTCAGTCGGCTCACAAAACATTTATTATCAAGCGAAAGCTTGCCAAAAAGCTGAAGCAAAACAGACCGATTCCACAATGGGTTAGGATGCGTACTGGCAACACGATTCGGTGAGTTATTATAATATTTCATTGTTTTCGTTGTAGCTAAAATCAATGTCATTAATTTATTCTACATTAACACATTATATATTAGCAAGATGTCAAGTGGTCTGGAATTTCGTAGTTTTACATAATAAAGTATATCATGTAAAATGTTAATATTCATTAAATTAAATAGTATATAAAAATCTTGAGACTACACTATAAGATGTATCGAAAACAAGACTATATAGTATTCGGTGTGATGCACAATTTGTTAAACAAAGTGTGCCTCAAAAACAATTTTAAAAAAGTGTGAAATAGTGTTCATTTTATACTTCGCTAAGTCATTATGTATGTATATATGAATTTTATAAAAATTTTATCACATAATAATGTATTGTCTGACTTGCAGGTACAATGCAAAGAGGCGTCACTGGAGAAGGACTAAATTGAAGCTGTAAATATATTCTAATTTATATTGGCTTCAATTCTCTTACTGTGTGTTAATTATTCATCCTTAAATAAATTCAAATTAAACATGTAAACCCGTTTTCAAATATATTGAAACCCACTATTTAAACATACGAATGTTGGATACAACAGTAATATAATGGAAAAAATGGTTCACTTTAATAAATTAAATTCAATATGTAATTTCATGTATTTAATAAATTACAGTGAATTGAGTACTTTGCGATGTTGCATTTTATCCATCCATTCATCCAACAATTCTTTGCCACTCTTAGGATTCTTCATATAATAGTCTGCAGGTGGTTTTCCTTCTTCTAGACGTACAAAATAGTTACAGTGTCTATAATGCACGATTCCTTGACGGCCTTTGGCGTGACGACGCATACCTTTTATTACCATACCCTTTGTTGCGAAAGACTCGGCTGTGAAAAAAAATTACGAATATTAGTAACAAGATTCATTGGACATGTTTAATGCGCTATGTTTTCAGTACTAAATTTGAATACTAATTTAGTACTAAAACTAAGGAACTGACAGAATACGAACTGTTTTAACTATATTTCAGTTCAGTTTTTGTTCTGGCTATTTCAACACAGTAGATACAATTTTACATTAGTTAGCAATATTATCTTATGAAGCTACTAAAATGGAATGATTCACAGTCCTACTTTGTGACCATGGTATACTGTTGTTTCCAAGAACTATACTTACCAACCCATAAATTACTTTTAAACTCAATATTATGATCTGCAGCCATGTTCTGTGCTTCCAATATAACTTCTTTTGCAATAGCTGCACCTTTTTTGTTTAAGAAACTTAATTGCTTAATTGCCTCATCTACAGTCATGCCTCTCACAAAACAAGCAACATACCACATTTTCAATGGACTGTATTTTATATCTTTTTTCATGTTACAAACGTACTAAAAAATAGAGAAAGACATTATGAATCATGAAGTTCTACCACATAAACAAGAATTTGTAAGAACTTTTATGATCGTAAACTTACTCCAGGCCGCTTTTCTTCTCCTGGCTTTTGTGGAGGAAAAATAGTTTTATTGTGTTCCATAAACTTTTTGGTATAGTTTTCATAACTTGCTAATTTATATATATTACGAGATGGAATAACATATAATGATTTTAACATACCAGACAAATTATTTGAGTTATTTGTACCAAGTATCTGACTTGATACAAATCTTGTACATTGTCTTACACATTGCATCTTCTGTGAAAAATACAAAGGAAACATAAAAAAATAAAAGATACTTATAATATAATTATATTATAACCTAAATAAGAGGTATATGTTCTGTAACAGTTATAATTTGACATCGTATGTAGAACTATTATGTATTTTTTAATATAGAATCTTTTTGTCCATACGTACAGTAAGCAAATAATGTAGTAAATGGAGTAAAATTTTCTTAATATAAACTTTTATTCACTAAAACGTATTTCTAGTGTTTGGTCAAAATACCAAATGCCAAATATTTCTCTATCTTTCTCTGACAAATTGGTTATTATCCAGCTGAAATAAGATTTTTGTGCTGTTATTCCTGGTATATCATAGGTACCTAATGCTGTTTATATTTTCTGATAGTCTCAGATGGGCTCAGACTATTTTTTTAAACTGAACAATATTGTGTATTAATGTTGGATCCGACGTGAATAATCGATACTTGATTTTTTAAAATGTGTAGACCTACATGTGGTACTATATACCACTGTTGCGTATTCGCAACTACAGATGACAGTGTAGTTACATGTACTTATTCCTAAAATTCTCAACAGATGGCGCTTGATTCTAAATATTACCAGTTGCGAATACGCAACAACACTATCGATATTTTAGAACACGAGACACAAAGTCCCATAAGATGATAGGTCTATCCTATACCTAGTCGGTGCTATATACATCAAAACGGGCAAGTTTGCGGATCTATCCTTATTGTTATTGAATAATATTTAATTATTAAATGAAACGCGCGCTAAAGGGGTGGTGTGTTGCAACCTAAGGACGAGAAAATATAGTAATTAAAAAATAGCTGGGGCATTTTATCGTAAACGACAATAAATTTAATTTTTCTGTCACTATTGTTTTTTCTTAAAATCAACAGTAATATAAAATTATTTAGTCAAGTATGAAGGTTGATAGATCTTATCTATAGGCAGATCAGTGAAAATATTCATAGCTTCTTGTGATTTGACCACCAGCTCTAGTAACATGGCTTCACCCCTGAATATACCGCATTTACGAGAACTTAACCCGTCGTGGTCGCCGCTTGTGACACCTTCCGTCACGTACGCGTAAGTAGTGTGCTCTACGTGTAGCGTGTTCATGACGTAACTGATTAAATTGCTATGGCGGAGAATTAGTTGAACGATTGGATTTATTTACTATTCTGCTCCGTCATTGTGTTAGGATAAACTTTTAGATTCGACCTATAAGAAAAAATCATGGATAGCAATAAAGATGAAGCAGAACGGTGCATGGAACTTGCGGAACGGTATCTTCGTGAAAAGAAGTACGAGGATGCTGAAAAGTTTATGCGTAAAGCATACAAACTTTATCCAACGAAGAAGGCAGAAGGTAAATGAATAGAAAGTCCACACGTCAGTAGTTTCGTTCATAGATCACATAATCGATTCTTTTTGCCCTGTCTCTTGTCTGTAACTAATCAGTGATTCTTTAACACGTTCAATTTAAAATGTATTCCTGTCGTATGCTCGAGGTACTTTCGGTGGAAGAGACATATGTATATAGTCTGTTTGTAGAATCGACCAAGCGCTAAAGTACTCGTGTTTTGGGCGTTGGGACAAAACAATTTAGAGAAATATGGAATGTGATGAGTGCTGAACTTTCCTCAGGGTCATGAGAATTGATTAATCTTTGTTTCAGTTAAATATTTCTCCATTTTAATTTAATGTCAATGACTACTTAAAGACAACGAAAACTGCACTGCTACAAATTAAAAATTTAAGTTATTCTCCTGATAAAGAAATTACCATTGATTAACCACATTAATTTTTTGAGAAGTTGAAACAGTATATATAAAATTCTGTATTATGAAGCATCAATGATATCCACATGTCAAAGGTTTAATTTATGACTATGATTACTGTTTATACCACGATAACAATATATTGACTTAGTATCCAGATGTGCACAGTTAATGGTTAGAGCAAGAGTCAGTAGAACCATGTAGAGAAGTGAAGACATTTATAAGCAATTGTTGGTGCTGGGCCATTTGAACTTTGCATACTTAATGAGGTGTTCATTCTATTCAAAATTAAATGACGATGGTCCTAGGCTTAAGATTCTTGGCTGGACCAAGCCTGCAAAATGAGCTTGTGTTTATGGTCGCAATGTGTTCATTATGTAATTATGTATATTGTTATTTCCAAGTATATGTATAATTATTGGAGTGTCAGTTTAATTAGAAGTGTTATTAACTTTTGAAGAGAACATTCTGATACGCATTTACAAATTCTTTTTAGAATAAACTTCTCCGATTAGTCAAAAGTGAAACTTTTTTTACATGTTTATCACTTTCACTGTTGAAACTGCATCCATATAGAAGTATGAAAGATAAAGATTGTTAGTTTTCGTCACGATATAGCGTGGTCGTAAAATTATTCGGATGCAAAAATAAACACTATCCGATCGTCGGAACAGCTGTTTAAGAGATAAATGGGGAAATAAGGAGCTCGAACGTCGTTCAGTGCTGTACAGTAGCAATTCAGATTCAAGGTATCTCTGACTTTTTTTTACTGTTGACACCAGTTTACGAAAAGTTAAAGTTCTTTTAAATATTCCAAATACTAAAATGAACTTACCGTTGCCCTGTTGGTGAATGAACTATAATTAGTCGACAATCTTTCTCGCTTTATTGCTTGGTGGCATTAATCGGTACCGCCCCTCGATATATTAATGTACGACCACGCTGTATCGTGGCGAGAGAACTATGCAGTTACCTTAATTTGCAAAGTCCATTGATCTAATTAATTTTCGTTCGCAGATGTATTAGCAAAAGTGGTAATGTTTTCGAAACAAAATCAAAAGTCTGAGTCTGAACCTACTGTTAGAAAACGTCAAACTGCACCTAAGGAAGCTTCACAGCCTCAAGTTTCTACAGAGTATACAAAGGAACAACTCGAATATGTTAAAAGGTACAAGAGTCGAATAAGTTTTACGATGTATTAGAGCAGAGCTATGCAATTTACCGTCTGTTTGAACAACTGACAGAAATTGTAAAGGGCGATTCTGCATGCCAGACTAAGATGAAAATCTAGAATAACGAAATTCTGTTAAATGTTTCGTTTCAAAGTTATTGATTGTCGAAAATTCGTTCGAAAAACGTTGTTTGATGCGACGGGTTATACTACGGTGAGTGCGTGTTGGTCAGCTGATTCACAGACTCGGTCGATGACCGTCAGTGCCATAGACACCAAAAAAGGAACCGTCTGGTGACATACGACCCCAGGCGATACTGCAATAATTTTTTCTAAAATTTTATAAAACACTACCTATAAGCTAAAATCCACAAGTATCTGTAAAAATTCCATACGACGAATTTTGATAAGCCATTTTGGATTTTAGCGAGTAGGCAGGTTTAATGTCGTGCAACAATTCGTCTTAAGTGTTTTATAAAATTAAAAAAAAAATTATTGTAGTATCGCCTGGCGTCGTATGTCACCACTTCGTTCACGAGGGTAAATGGGTTTTTCTAGATGGATACGACACTGTCTGCGCCCGTAACTGACCTAGTTACATGCGTTCAATCGGGTCAGACGATTTTCACTCATGTTTCCGACTATTAATAACTCGGAAACAAAGCCTTTAACGCGAATTTCGTTATTTTTGATCTTCATCTTAGTTGGTCATATAAATTAAACATTCAGGTATCTATTATCAAACACCCTGTATACATTATCCCCACCCATAATGCCCTATGACCTACGACATTCTTACCAAATTCTTTGTTTGAAACACTCGCGGATAACATTGAGTTTTTATGAGTAAAAATTGTCCAGTTCAATATTGTTTTTGAGTGATTTATATATAAGTCTGCAGACCAAGTATAACAAGTTTTCTGTAGAACATTATGTTACACTTATGGCCTTAAATGCTCATTATGTAAATGACAGTATGTGTAACATTGATTTTAATAACACAGAATATATAGTGTTCTAATATTTCTGTATAATTTCTGAAAAAATATTCAGACAACAGTCATTATATTAGTTTTTAAGTTAAATCGTTAGCATGAATTTAATTCGTTTGATTACAGGATTAAAAAATGCAAAGATTATTATGAAATTTTGGGTGTAAGCACAGATGCTACTGATAGTGATATCAAAAAGGCATATAAAAAGCTAGCGCTTCAGTTACATCCAGATAAAAACAAAGCACCAGGTGCTGCTGAAGCATTTAAAGGTAAATATTATTATTGATTAAACTATATTTAATAAACGTTGATATATATACGATATATATTTTCTCTATAGCTATTGGAAATGCTGTCGCTATTCTTACCGATGTGGAAAAGAGAAAACAGTATGACATGTATGGCCCTGAAGAAGATAGAATGCAAAATAGTCAAAGTCGTCAAAACCATGCACACTTTAACTACACAAGAGGATTTGAAAGTACTACCAAAATATACAGGATGTCCGTAATTGATAGTACAAACGGAAAAGTGATGATTTTACGTGAAATACTTAGTCGAAACTATAAAATAATATTTTCTCGTTACTCGATCTTGAAGACGAAATGAATCACAAAAAGGTTACCATGTTTCCGTTTGCACCACTAGTTACGGGAATCTTTATATTTATTCGATATTATAAATATTATATGCTAATCAGGTTTCTTACGATACAAAAACTTTTTTTGTAGCTGATATTACTGCAGAAGAATTGTTCAATATGTTCTTCGGCGGTGGGTTGCAACAACAGGACTTTTATATGAGGCGTGTTGATAGAAGATGGATGAGACAACAAGATGTACAAAGTCAGCACCCTCGTACTCAGGTATAAAAAGAGAGGAAATAATTGAAAATAACAATACATCCGTTTCAGCAATGGACGAGAAATACCAAGCAAAAATAAGTTATAATCAATTTTTCTGATTGGTTTTGTATTCCTTGTTCGTTGCTGATGTGGGTCTCACAAGTCAGAAAACACTCTGCATATAACTTTTGTTAAATATTATTTATATGGATTAATGTTACTAAATAATTATATTTTTCAGCAAGCAAATGGATATACCACATTCCTTCAGATGTTGCCTGTACTGTTATTAATATTATTAACTATGATGAGCAGTTTATTTATATCAGACCCTGTATATAGCTTGCATTCTAACGCGTAAGTGTCTTATAGTATACGCTAAATATTTATGACAGATAACGATGAATAAATTAGTTTTAATTAACACTGTTATGGGATGTTTCAATTTTACTGCTTATGTTTTCACTTTATTGGCTGTGATCTACGGTATATACTGAACGTTAAATGTAGCGAATGATTTGTGTGAGAGTGATTATATGCACATTTTAATTTGTGCGCAGAAAATATTCTGTACTGAGAACAACTCAAGGATTAAAGGTGCCATACTATGTCAAAGAAAACTTTCACACTGAATATCAAGGCAGCTTACGTAGACTAGAAATTTCGGTTGAAGAGGAATACTTGAATAATTTGAGACATGCCTGTTACAGAGAAAAAAGTTACAGTGAGTATATATGGTTTACTGTTTTTTTTTTTGTATACACTGTTCGATATGGCTAGAATAGTCGTAGTTTGACCGTGAGTGATGTGACAATAAAAGTATGTAGTAACTAACTAGCACATTTGTAAACATCATATATAAATGGTTTTTAATGTTTAGGGGAAACAATGTTATGGAAAGCAAGAAACTTCGGCGATCAAGATTTATTTGTGAAAGCTAAAAATATCGAAATGCCCTCATGTAAGAAGGTGCAGGGAATGCAAGGAGCATAGCGGCACTATGTAATTAAATAGAATTTTGTTGTAGATAGGTGTATATTGTATTTACACGTGTGTAGTTATTTTTGGATGAACTGAAGAAGACCATGCATAATATATTAAATAATATATTATGTTTCTTCGCATCCGAATTTGTAAATGATAACTATCTTGGTCCATCATGAACTTTCACGTGGACCGTTTAAGCTGTTTGTTCCATACTCAAATTGTAAATTATTTGATACAGGATTGACTGCAGTAGCGTGTATGGCGAATTTGAGCCCGAAATATAAATTATTAATATTAATTTTACCGAACTAACGTGTGACTTCAAGTTGATCAAACTGAAGGATATAATCTTACAATACAGAAACCATATGTTAATTTACCCATACTATTTAGCATCGTTTATGCTGTGTTATTGTTATGCAAGAAAGAAACAACCGAATGGTATAGTGGCGAACATGATTTTAAAGTATTTCCCGTAATTTATGAATGCCGGTAGAGTTTGAACGTTAAAGGATATATTAAATCTTGCCGTATTGTCTATGCCACTAATTATAATAGTATGCTCGCAAATTGAATTATCGATTGTTATGGATACGATCATTTGATCAGAAACCGTTGTGACATTGAAACCTCTTAAACATAAGGAGATTGTAGATGACGAGGAAGTCTAAGTAGACGCAACTCGGTGAAACCTAATCTTATTCGCATAAGAAAAATTATATAAACTACTGAGAAGGTGTATGTTAAGATTAATAATGGTAGGACAAAGGAATTATTGCATGCATTCTGTATCTTTTCTTAGGCTCACAAAGGAGAGAATTTTTCAATGTTCAATGAAATACAGTTTTTAAGGATTAAGTTGATCACGGTGATACATTTGATCTTATAAACTAGATTTGTTTCTCACGTAGGACACTATATGTGTGAGTCTCAGTATTAATGTTCTAGATTTATTATTAATGTAGAAAAAACTATTGTTACCTCAGTACGTCCTGATTCAAAGATATTTTTATCGAGTGCAATACATATAAAAACACCGTTACATTCCTTCTGTAATGCACGCGGCATTCGCAAAAAAAAATGCACGCGATGAACGAAGATTAATATTCCGTGACGCGATGCGTACACATCACAGTACGTGTGAAATTGAACGTGATGGAAGCGTGATTTAGATTGATTCATGAACTTTGGAAAAGCGATCATCGTTGAACTTTCCAACGAATTGATTTTACACGCCAAGGCGTACAACACACACTTTTATATGGATACAAAGCTGAACGTAAACCGAAAATTTCTAGATTATCAGCCCACCTTTGTTGTTTATAAATTACAATGTCACGTTTAAATAATACAAGTTACACGATCAATATACTCGATTTACGAAAACTCATTTTTTGTGTAACATTGCAAGTCTTTCAGTACCATTGTCATCTTCTTTAACTGAACCCACGGCGACTAATGCCCGAGATCGTAAATCCCAAAATATTTATATACGATACCGTCTTCGAAACCCACATATCAAATTTCTTTCATGTTTTGATTAGCCTGCATACATTTAACGGCACTTATTTATCGGAACCATTATGTGTGCATTGTATATGTCAATTTAATTAGCCTTGAAATAAAGAAATTTCGAAATCACAAGTTGTTTTTCAGACTCTTCACAATACTTTCAAAGTGCTTACTCTGACAGTGCTTTTAGCTCGAGGATCCTGACGATTAGGAACTCAGGAGAGTCATGAATGTACTGCAGTTTTTATGCATTTATAGTATTACGTATTGTGGACGTTTATTTTATGTAGAAGATGATAGACCTCTTAATAGAGTGAGATGATTTCTCTTTGATTCTAATGTCTGTATATTATCACAAAACAAATCCGTATCTATGCAAACGTTCTCAGTTTGCTCATGGAAATATAAAAATTAGAATATTTAACTATATAAGAATATTTACTCAACATTATTTTACTAGCCTATTAGTAGAGTTTCTCTGAAATATAATTACACATAATTAAAAAATCAGTAATATTAAGTTGAATATATTACATCCTTTTGTACAAACATTTTTGCGGATCACTGTATATGCATATTTCATCCGTGGACGATATATTTGCTTTCGTATACGACCAAGCACGAGGAAATAATAGTAGAATGTTTAAATTGAAAGACGATTATTAAACTGTTTGGGTCACCATTAAGCATGAATATTTCATTATCAACATTCAGAAATTCTGTCAACCCGTAGATCTGAATATCACCGAACATAGAAAAGAAAATACCAGTCAAATGTTTTTTACAAGAACCACCTTACTCATCGATATCATCAAAATCAGCACGTCAAGTGCGAACGATGTTGATCGTTAACTGCGAAAAAATGAACCGTCATCGTTTAAACCAAAGTTGTGTGATATTTCTTTATTCATTATAGCTAGAGGGTTAAGTATGCGTCTACGTATATGCATATATTGTACATATGTCACTTGTATCGATAACCATTCGCTCGTCATCGAAATTTTCCGTACCAGTGATAATATATAGAGTATATAACAGCTCTAGTTCTTACGTTTGCGGTCCAGTTCTGTCTAAGTACTCGAGTAGTGATTCATTTCACGATGTCGACGACAAGCTCACTGCACGTACTTCTGTTAATTTTCACCATGAGTCTTTCGGCGACATCACAGTGTTCAGCTGCATCTACTGAATCTAATCCCACCGTGATCAATAATAGGCCGATAATCGGTGAGTCGACTTTTAGCCTGGCCACAAAGGTGGCATAATAATTGTTTCTCGTATAATGTTACGATACGATTGTTTGATAGTATAGAAGACTGTCTTGTAACTGGTAGTTACTAACTACCAGATAGCGATCGGAATGATACCGAATCAATACTATCGATTCCAGCCTGCGAATTATGATATCTTATCGAATATGTAGGTATTAAACATAATTAATATCCGCTTGATACTTCTACAAAAGTATCGATACCGGTTTGATACCTTTCGAAATTATAGTTACCTATTTGATACTTCGTCAAAATGTTGATATCTTAATGGAAGGAGTTACGCTTTATTGATTAAACAAAAGAGATACAAAGTAAAATAAGAGTACTAACGTAAAGGCGGATATTCTATTTAGGTACATATGTATGTGAAAAAACTAAGAAGAAAATATGGAATCAAAATTCCGCCGTAACTCGCTTCGTTTTCAAGACAATTGAATTTAAATATTAACGGAGTACATAGAACAGAGTATACAGCTTGTACCAATTGCGTGGGTTCTCCTGATAACCAGTTGTGTACAAGTTTCGAACAAATTGCCAGCAATAAATGACAAAAGTTATCTAAAAAACCATAGCTATCTGTTTCTGCATTTAACTTGGGTTTCGCCGGCAACGCCATGAACACGAAAATTTGTTAAATTAACATACGAGTGATATACAAATATTTCTTCGTGTTCTCATTCTAATAACGATCAGTCCTCAAGTTTCTTTAATTTCGTATTCCAAAAGGTATTCTGACTCAAGAGGTATCTCCCTATGTAAACTCAAGATATGACAATCAATATCACAGCTACATCGCCGCGTCTTACGTTAAATTTCTCGAGGGTGCTGGCGCGAGAGTTGTGCCAATTTGGTGAGTGTACGACGCTGTTGTCTTTATGGACAACTTCTTGTTTTCATATCTTAATAATGCTGCTTCATTACAGATTTTTCATTTACCGAAATTGATATCAAATAAAATAAAGATCTCGTCGAACTTTCCGCGCAAGAAAATACATTATACTATCGTGCTGAATAACCTTCCGTTTACCCTGACTCATACTGTTTGTCTCGTATCTGTCGTGCGTTCAATGTACATATTAATTCCGAAACATTCCGTTTGGATCATCAACCCCTTCGCCTAAATCTTTAGAACGCATATAGAACAGTTGAAATCAATAGGAATAAGTAACTCATATATTCTTAATTCTTCTTACGTATGTGTTGAATGTAGGACAATTCCCAATTATGATCACTCAACCTCAGCCGTCATATTCTAGTTGTGATCCGTGCCATATTACGCACGGTACTTTGACAGCATGGTTTTCGAATTATATTGTAATTTTGAGTCACTTTCTCGCTTAAATTCTTTAAAACAAGACGTGGTATATTATAGGGAGGATTATTAAGAGTTTCGAGATAGTATAAGAGTAAAATTATCTATGTTTATCTATGAACGGGACTTTTGGTGTATGTACTCTCACGAGCAAACTCGGCTTCCATTAGTAAAAAAAATGACCTTCTACCATTTGATATCAGGAACTATTGAAATATATGCCAAATTAACATTCGGTTTAACATTTATTTCAGTGCTTGAAATAAATTTATCAATTGGTAAAAGGCCCTGCCCCGACAACACTTTTTCCCCTAACGGAAGTTTGCAGGTCAGTGTACCCAGTTGCTCAACAATCGTAAACATTTTAGTTGGGTTAATTGTGTAGTCTACCGATCGTTGACATATCGGTAAACGTAAAATGTGTGTGTGTGTGTGTGTGTGGGGGGGGGGGGGGGGTAAATTGAATATATGTATACTTGATCGTGTTCTTCCGCGCAGGATTGGGCAGAAGAGGTCGTATTATGAGGATATCATGAGTAAAGTAAACGGGTGAGTTAACGTGACAGTGGTTTTCCGCCATAAACAGGGTATTCCACTGGAGTTTATTTATTTTTCAATACTATCGACAGAGTCCTGTGGCCTGGCGGAAACGCAAATTTCGACGATAAAAATGGCTATCGCGACGCGGGATTCATGATATACAAGTAAGAAATTTGTAACGTCTTAAAGCTATTTTCATGGCCTATTTACGTGTAAGATTCAAATACTTTCCATTGAATCTGAAAAATTGTCGAATCTATAGAATTGCGAAAGAAATGTACAAACAGGGAACGTACTTTCCAATTATGGGCGTCTGCTTGGGATTCGAGTTGTTAACGTACGTCACCGCTAATTGCATAGAACACAGAATACCGTGCAACGCCACAAATCTACCCCTTTCCTTAAAATTTACTCGAGGTGAGAGTGCCGTATCTCTTTTTCGAGGTAACTATTGTCTCCCCTCCCACCCACTTTCTCAAGGTCACCGATGTTTCAGATTACCAAAACAGTACCATGTTTCGAAATGCACCGATCGACGTTATAGACACGCTAAAGTCTGAAAAAGTTACATTTAATGTCCATCATTACTGCGTCACCAAAAAAGTAAGTCTTAATTCATTTTTCCTTCTCTGAAAAAAAAAAAAGCAACGAAGTAGTCATTTCTACCGAGTTACTAAAGTATCTAAAGATATTTAGAGACATTAGAACACTCGATGCCCCGATAATTCAGATTCTTTTAAAAACTCCGCAGGTTTTGTAGGGGATCTTGACAAATGTATCGGGCAATGTTTCGTTTTTGCTGATATTCAGTTCTTCAGATACCACCCCTTAAGGGTTAATGTGTTTTCCTATTTTCTGGTATGTCTTGAAAACTATAGTAGGTATCAAAAAAACTGTTAGAATGAAAATGTAATGGCTTTTTATTTTCTATAAAACTGTGCAATAAGACTGTTAAACATTTGTTGTTTAAATAAATAAATAAGCAAATTTTTAACAATTCTGTTGCACAGTTTTATGGAGATTAAAAAGCCATTAAAATTATCATTATAACATTTTTATCGTATCTACTATAATTTTCAAGACATACCAAAAAATACGAAAACACACGTCAACCTTTAAACCTAAAAAAAATTATCCGATTCTTCTATAGAAGTCCACTACAAATCTTCAGAATTTAAAAAAGATCGAAATTTTTAGAGTACTCTGAAGTTTTCTCATTAGCGGAGCGAACTGTAGCGTTTTAACATTGTAGCAATTGCGAAAAGTTGGTGCGCTGAATCTGCTGAAAGTACTAGCTGTTAACAACGACGAGGGGGGACAGGGGTTCATTTCCGCGGTGGAGTCGACCAGTTTTCCGTTTTACGGGTTGCAGTTCCATCCGGAGAAGAATTTGTACGAATGGATCCTGGAACGTAATATACCGCACGGGGAGGACGCGGTGCAAATCGCTCAATATTTTGCCAATTTCTTCGTCAAAGAAGGTACAACAAATCTTCATTTGTTCTTACGCAGAGTGTTCCATTTAACGTGAGCACTTTAAATATTACACTTACTTTGGAGTTCCAGAAAAATTATTTTAACAAATGCTCAAAGTGATGTTCATCAACTTTGACACATTTTTACACTAATCCCTCTTATTATTTAAATCGGCTTCCTTATATACATTCGTGGATTTTTGGTACTCAAGATCAAATGAACGTCACACTACATTGGATTGGTCTTGACCTCAACTATTACCCCATGATGAAAAAAATATTAAGACTCACCTAAACAAAATTAACCCTTCCAACCAAATCGTATTGTCCGCTCACATTTCTTTGTATTTTCAAAAATAAGTAAGATATTGAAGGTGCTTACGTTAGGTGTGACACTTTGTGGAACCGACGTAAATCGTAATATCTAATCGAACGATGTCTCCTTACAGCGCGCAAGAACAAGAACGCATTTAATTCCATCAGCGACGAAGCTCGGAGCTTAATTTACAATTATCCGGTAACGTACACCGCGCAGAGGAACATTTTGTTTCAGCAGACTTACTTCTTCAAGAAGAATAGCACGGAGTTGAATTACATCTAGTGACTTGCCGCCAGCGTTGATTAGGCTGGCACGGTGATTCCAGCCGGCTTCGAGTCTCTATACGGCTATTTTTTAGGAATTTAATCACCGTGTTATACAGGGCTCACCTGTACTTGTATAGAACGACCTAACGTGTCTTTCTAACATTTGAAGCGTTGTCGCGAATAAAGAAATAATTGAATATATTACCAACCTTGTGATATTTCAACATTATCGTTTCGACTCTTTCCGAGTGTCACGCCAAGGTGCAGGTTAATAGTCCTCGCCAAGATATAGCGTGGTCGTGAAATCGGTCAAACAATCGCAAAAACAAGCGGTACGAAGCCTTTCCAGTGTACCACTTTTTCTCCTAGGTTTGTTCATGAGAGTACAATGTCAATTCAGATACTAAATATTTCTGACTTTAATTGTTCTCTTTTTTTTTATATCAATTCAATAATTTACGACAGCATTGTATAGTGGCAAGGACTATATCTGCATCCCCTGGGCGGTTGTATTTTGTAGGTATATGTTAATGTAATATATAAACATCAATATTTTGAACCATCCAAAGGTATGTACCCCTTAACATTTAGACTGCCGGCATTTTTTCTTACGAAACGTGGTCTTTATTGGCCAAAACTTGATGGACATTATTAACATATGCACTGCGCCGAATTTCGAATTTTGTTAATGTCCCAAATCGGGACACTTCTGGCAGCCTAAGGGTTAAACGGTACACAGGTGGGTCGTATTAATAAACATCGCTCAAGGTTGGTCCGAAGGAAAGTGGTTTCAAGCAGGATAGGGGGGGATTAACTACGTGGAACCTGGCCAGGTAAAATCTCTCACCTGCTGAATGCCAGGTGAAATGTCAGTCGATGCACCCACGTGATCCGCGGCGATTCGACCGGCCGAAGCCGTGTATGCACGGATAAGTATCTACGCTCTCGAGAAAACTGTCGTGCCACTTCGGGAAGCTGTGGTCCGCCGCGTTTATCGAGCCACCGAAGAGGGGGACCGATTAGATCGAGGGAATGTTTGATTGGGGGAACCGTTTGTCGCGAGCAAACACCGATATACACCGTTAGGTGTGAAACACGCGTTCATAGTGATTTCGAGTGTCATCGAAATCGGAGGATCACAGGTGTTCGATACACATCGATCGTCGTCGCTTGGATCTTCTCGGTTGGTACCGTCGCGTACGTGCTACGGACGAATCTACCATTCGGCGTGGTTCAACGAAAGGCGTTACTGTTTGTTTCGTAAGTAATCGAATCGTTCTATAAATTTAATAGTAAGTGAACGCTTTGAATGAACGAGATCTAGGTAAAAATTTGGCCGGTCACGATCTCAGTAGACAGACTGCAGACGGTTCTCAACGATTAGTCAATTTGTTGCCAGAATTACGTTGATGTTTCATCCGATGTAACACGTACCTGCGATACGCTTCTTGCATGCTTTAATTTTTAAATATTTTGCCACTGTTCTCTGAAAATCTTATACGAGCTTTGGATTAGGAAATGGATTTTTGTATTATTGTAGTTTTTTTTTTCGTGATAACAAAGTTGCAAACCAAGAAAAGAAATATAATATCTTGGGATTTACGACAACCTTGCTAACCGAGAATTTCATTTTTACAAGTTTTCAAAGGGAACGAATTGCGTCTTCGTGCAACTTTGTTAACGGCAATTACTCGTTTCGAACATTTGCGAAGAATTTCAAAAAAATTGAATATACCCATTAGCTTGCAACACTAGCACTAGCCGTAGGACGAAAAATAACTATGTAAATAGTTCCGCAAGAACAACCCCAACGGCCATTTTTTGCCACCCTCCAATGTCCACCTGTTTCTGGTATTTACACCTAACGCATGCAAGAAGGAGGTTAGGTCGCGTGAGAGCGGCAAAGCGCTGCACATAAATTCAACTTTGATCGTTCCACTTTCTGCGACCGGTGAACACCGTCTGGTGCCACGGCGTTTCACTCGGATTAAGGATGCATTTTGTTAACACGTTCAGAACAGCAGGAAAATTCACGAAACGCTCACTAACGTCAACGTTCATTATAACCGAATGGTTTGATTTTATCGTAGCGTTTATTCTAGTTAATACTATCTCTGCCAGACGACCATGGACAACCCGGAGCTCTGCGATCGGGACAGTTTGAGATACGACGAGGCTTGTCTGCGTCTGCGAAACGAGGACGAAAATCTGAACCTTTGGCTCTACTGGCTGTCGTCAGACTGCGCGGCGGTAAGTTGTCCAAGGAAATTTTTCTATTGTTTACGACATTTCCTTAACTTTCCGAGCGCATTTTATCCCACGAAAGACGGACCATCTGTGGAAGACGGAACCAGGTAATTTGTAATCCGCACCGAGATCTCGTATAACACGTTAACCCGTTGCCTTACGATTTTTTCGACGACTATAGTCTCCAGAATTACTTTATCGTCAATAATTTTCCAGGAACAAAATAAATTCTGTATTTATTGCAAGTGCGCAATAACTCGAAAAGGTAAATATTAATACTAGTAAAAGAGTATGTCTCTTCGATGTAAAGAAAAGGAGTAACACTCAGGTTTATTAAACCCTTTTTGTGTTCGTCAACACGAGTCTGACACGATGTTATAAGGGGTTAACTGCCACAGTGAAAAAGACCGTTCACGTGGACAGTATTACGGTACATTTGAATGTGGTAAATTGTCGCGCAATAAATTTTTCACGGTTCGAGCGCGTAATATTTCGAACACGCTTACCATGGACGACACTCGGTCCACGATGACGATCGTTGCAGAAGAATGTTTGTCACGTGACGCGTATTCTATTTATATACACACGATTCCGCGATGACGATCGCTATCGATGGACCTTCTGATGTACTTTTTTCAGTGTCCGTACACACGTACCAAGCGATTCGCGGCGAACTCGAATTCCAGCGTGACTATCGACACGCTCAGAACGTCGAGCTTGAGGGTATTGGACGCTGAGGAACCCAGCGAATATGTGTCTGTGAAAAACACTAGGTACTTATGCCTTCTAAATGAATAGAAAAGGCTTTCTAACATTCCCCACACTTCGTAATATCGTTGAACGGTGGTTGATCGTATTTCAGTGACGTGGTTTGCGAGCTGACCCCAAGTCTTGGGCAATACGGTGTGTACGAGCTGTCGGTGAAGAATGGAGGCTGTGACGTCAGTATCTTGAAAGGATCCGTGTATCCTTACACAGGCAAGATCTTGTTGAATTCTGTGTTAACGAAGTCTGTCGACTTGTTTTTCCTTTTGATCCAACAAGACCTTTGGCCAGATCTTCCAGGAACAATATCCTTATTCTTAATGCAAAGCAACAGGGATTGCTTGCCATGTCGAACTTTCTGTTATTCGTTTCTCATAAACAAACCCATGACAGTCGATAGTTGAAGGACACAATGCAGTGTTCAGACATCACGTGACATTAGAGCTGTTTAGTATTATATCTGCCCTTCCAGAACCAAGTTTCAAGTCCAGAACTAAGACTCTATCATGAATCCTTCGAAGGCAAAATATCGCCAGGCCATCCGTCCTCGACCCCACTCGAAATACGTTGACGCTAACAAACACTGTGGTCTGACGTGACCGTGATCCATTTCAGAACTCTTCGTCATTTTCGGTGTGCTGATAATCGTTCTGCTCGGCCTGTCCAGCGTGAAGACATTATGGCATTTGTGCCGCAGGAAGTGGGCAAAACGTCGAGTGGAGGAAGCGAACAAGCAGCCTGTGAAATGTCGCGTGAAAGCGATCGATACAGTTCGAGGGTACACCTTTTAAGTCTCTGTTTTGATTGTCTGTTACGTGAAATTATCTGGACTATTTAAATTTTATTCGGTAGTGACTCGGAGTAGCACTCAGAGGGTGAAAATATGTACAACCTGATGGTATTTTCATAAATTCAAATATTGCAGGGCGAGTACTCTGTTAATGATATTCGTTAATGGCGGATCGGGTGGTTACAAGATCTTGGGCCACGCGACTTGGAACGGCCTGCTGCTGGGTGATCTGGTTTTTCCGTGCTTCATATGGATCATGGGAGTGTGCATCCCCGTAGCCATGGCTGGGCAAATGAAGCGCGTGCCATCGAGGGTCACCATTTTGTATGGGATCGTCAAGGTTTGGTTGTGCTCTTTATTCAGAGTGTTTTTTTTTAACTCTTTTACAAACTTCAGTTCACACATTGATTGCTCAAATTTCTGCTATTGGAAAAATATGGTGATAAAAAACTCTCGTTAAAAGTTATGCTGTTAACAATATAAAGATTTACTTGTTGACCTGAACATCCCTTATTTGGATCATTATTCTGCTATTTACAAATTTGTAAATATTGCAGTTCAGACAGTGATGGTCTGTTGAACAAATCTTAAGTGTGTTCATTAATTGCAATCTTCAGGAGCTTCTGAGCAATTAAAAAAAATTCTAGAGTTCGATATATGAATTGATTTAGGGCACGATTCATATTCTCCAGTGACAGGAAATTAATGGCGCCTGTTACAAATTTTACTGGAAGGTCAACAGAAATTTTTGGACATTGAAAGTCTCTTAAAGTTACCATAGATATTTTACATTTCAAAGTAACCGTTCCTCATATTGCTCATTCTAAAACACAATCATTTTAAGTGGCAAGAAATTTTTATTTTGCAATTTTATCTGACCCACTTTTGCGTAATGTAAACAGATACGCGAATTTATAGTACCCATTTATCGGGATCTTTAATTAAATAATCGTGTGCTCTCTGCACTTGGATTATCAGATCTTCAATCGATTGATCGATGAACCTCTATACCTGTCATTATTACTCAATTAAATTTTTCTAGACAAAATACAGTTTCTCCATCGCAGGTGGAAATTAGTTATGATACACCTCAATATTCACAGGGTACACAAATTGTGCAAAGCTGTCTTATACCAACGTTGTCATACAACACGATGTAATCAAATTTTAGATTATATAAATAACAGAATTTTTTTAGTTAAATGTATAGAGGATATCCAAGAGAATGAATAATAAAAGTATTACTTCGGAGTTTCGTTTAACACAGTTTTTTAAACTTCTCATTTCTTCGTTTCGTTAACAGAGAAGCTTTCTCCTGTTCTTGATCGGAGTGTCGCTGAACACAGCGTACAGAGGACCTAATGTGGAAACCATCCGTATATTCGGTGTCCTTCAACGTTTCGGTATAACTTACTTCTTGGTCGCGGTGACATACCTCTGCTTGATGTCCAAGAGGCCAATGAAGACGCAAGTGAGTGCACGTCAGCAAACAATTAATAAAAATTCCATGAATATCTTCCAAACACGATATTTACCACTATTCTCAATAACATCTATCTATATACATTACAAGAACACTTCTGATCGAAACTCAAAATGAATCCGGATCGCCATGATCAATGTAGATATGATCAAATTTGTACTGCTGCACACATTACAATAGAATCACATTTATATTCCAGAAACACTGGGAACTCATAGGAAGACACACAGTTGAATGTAAATCACGAATTGACTTGTTTTTTTCAATTAAAAGGTTAAAGAATCATCTTCCTTGATCAGATAACGGTAAATTTTCTTCTTAGTCAGCCACGTTACGCGAGGTTCAAGACATCCTTGTGTTGCTTCCCCAATGGTGCGTGATGCTCGCTATCGTGGCCCTCCATTGTGTCTTAACATTCTGCCTGAATGTTCCCGGATGTCCCACGTATGTACGTATAATACGATGAACAATTGCTTGTCTTCTCACCAAGTCATTAAAGGCATGATCGTTAGCGGTTACCTCGGGCCTGGCGGTCTTCACGACGACGGGAAGTATTTTGACTGCGTCGGCGGGGCAGCTGGCTACATCGACAGGATAGTGCTCAAAGAACCTCATCTGCTTCGTTCGAGGACCGTCTATAAGGCTGGCCCGTACGATCCGGAAGGAATTTTAGGTACACGATTTTCTAGATACCTAAGCAATTCATTCGACGAATTCGCTGGATAACGAATCCATGTTTATTCCGAGTTCAAATTCCTCAGATGAAGTTCAGAAAGTTCACAAGAACTTTCTCTTCGAGCTCTATTAGTACAAACACTCGAAATAAGGTTCTCATACGCGCAGGATGCTCCTTTCGATACGGATCAGCTTTCGTCTGATTTCGACAACATTTTCTTCAATTCGAAGATATTTACGTGGAGGTAGTAAAATGCTTATCCTGTGGACCTTGTTTCGAGCGATCATTTTAGCGCCGTCGTTTTTGATGCACGTGAAAGTTACAAGTTTCTTCAGAAGGTTACAATCGAAACTTGTCTGGTTTGTCAAGGTACGCTGACGACAACGTTTCACGTGTTCCTGGGCCTGCACACAGGCATTATTATGATGACATACAAGGATTGGAAGGCGCGCGTGATCAGATGGCTCGCGTGGGCGGCTCTTTTCGGTTGCATCGGCTGCGCCCTCCACTTCACCAACGTGATACCGGTCAACAAGAGACTGTGGTGCGTGCTCGGTTGCCCAAAAAAGGCAACGAGGCTCACTGACGAGCAAACTCGGCTTCCACTAGGGAAAAAAGTAACGTAGGGAAATGGCCTCCTACCACTTGGTATTGGGAATTATTGGAATTCATGCCAAATTAACATTCAATTTAACATTAATATTAGTTGTTGAAATAAATTTATCAAATGGTGGGAGGCTCTCTCCCTTCGCCACTTTTTTCCCTAGTGGAATCCGAGTTTGCTCGTGAGGGTACACGGTCTCGATTGCGAAACCTGCCTGATTCGATACAATCCTCTGTTTCGCAGGTCCCTGTCGTTCGTGTTCGTCACGACGTCCTTCTCGCTCGCTTTGCTGACCGTGTGTTACTTGCTCGTGGACGTGGTCAAGGTGTGGAACGGCGGTCCTTTCCGAATTCCTGGTACGTAGCACTTTCGCGCGATTACGACGCGTAACGGGGGTTACGCAATCGTGGCGTGTTATAGCCAGATGATTGTCCCCCTTTTAAATGTGCCACACGTGAACAATCAGTTGCCCACGCATTGATATTTTAAATAGGAACATTAGTGTCTGATGGATATGTCTTGAAATGAGTTAGTCTTGATGGTTTTAGTGTAATACATACCGTGAGGGGCAAAAGTGTTTGGTAGTAGTTCTAGTGAGTTACTAGAACACGCGGCAGTAGTTGTAGAAAAAGAAACCAACCGAATGCTTTGATCAATTAAACTAATCGGGCTGTCGGCGCTTCTTCTCCTAATTCCAACAAAGCAGAGTAGTATTAATGTGCCCTTTACTCTTCCTAGGTATGAACGCGTTACTGTTGTACGTTGGCCACACGCTTTGCTTCAAACTTTTCCCCTTCCACTGGAGTATTGGCAACATGGAGAGTCGTGCGTTGCGTTTGCTGGAGACGATTTGGTGCGTCGGTCTGTGGACTGTCATCGCGTACGTAATGCACAGGAAACGAACGTACATCACTCTGTGAGACTGTGTCCGTTATAACTAGCAGATAATGTGTAGAATGGTTGAAAGAAAAAAAGCTCAAGGAATTTTCAAATATTTTGAGAATGGTAAACAGAAACTTGCCGTTTGAATGACCTATACAGCTGAATTTGAGAACCAGCCTGAAATTGAATGACTCGTGTTCTGGTCTGTTTGAATTAGCCTTAACAGTAAAAACTGTTGTAACAACTCAGATCAGTATGTAGTAAGATGATAGCGCAGGGCGAACATTAAAAATGGCAACAGTTGCTAGAGGACACAGTATATGCAAAGACTTGAATTGTTTACCTACTGAATGTCACCGCAACGGCTAATAATCGCGCGAAGATTATCGCTTACTTTCGAATAACAATCACGCGAATCGCAAGATATTAAACTATTCAACTGTTATCGTTCTATCGTTTATTTCACTTAAAGATAAGAGTTACGTAGCAATAATAATGGCGGCGCATTTCATCATGTGATGGACTTCCCATTGGTCCATACTTGGACAGGAGTGTCTATTTGCGATAAGATTGTAAATACTCTGTACCTTAAAATAACGATATATTTCGCTGGATTTCTTTCCTCCTTAAATTAATAGCACAGTAAACAAGCAAGTTTTATAACAGGCCGATCTTGAATATAGACAAACACTAATGCCGTATTACGTTCCCGCACATGTCACGTGACCTGAAACAGGGACAAATACATACATCCATTCGCGACGCACTTGATCCGAATGATTGAAGATCACCGGTTGCAACTTTACAAATAATTTATTTTACACAGCTTACATTAAACAGGCACAATGACAGATCGAAGGTAACGACAGTATCGATACAAACATACTTTCAGCCGGTTACTTCGCGTCGGTTTCACTTCCTCTCTAAACGGAACAAAAATGGTACACGAACGTCACAACGAGGCATTGACTCTACGTAAACAAACCGCTCGCACGCGACTCGGTTGAGACTCTCGACCGCGGATCGACGCGGCGGATGTCGATCGTCTCGCGACAAAAAGTAAGGAGAAGTAAAGGTGGATCTCGTCTCTTAGCAATGTGCACACACTGTGGGATTACGGAAGAAGAAAATAGAGTCCACCGTTACCGGAAATGAAGCCTCTTATCCATAGACATCTATAATTATTCTAGATTGCGCAGTGTCATGTCTCGCACGGTCAGACCATGTGCGCTCTGCACATTCTATGGCAATTAATGGTACTAATCCGCGGCGACGTTAGACCCCTGAAAAATGTAGAGTACCTTTCAGATATATGTGACATTGACGAAATGTAAAAAAACAAAATAATGATGGAGAAATTATTTATTTACGTAATAATTTTGGTAACTACATAATTTCTCCATTGTTATTGTTTTTTACATTTCATCAATATGACTTATATCTGAAGAATCATATTCATTCTTCAAGTGTATGACGTCCACACGGATTAGTACCATTAATCGTTGCATGGTGTGCAGGGCACATAGGGTCTAAATAGAGGTGGGCATGTCACCGCACGCTCTATAAAATTTACACAAGTCTATGGTTTGATGACTTCATTTCCGGCAACGGTGATGAAGACGGAGAAGGAGAGGCGAACGGATGGACATCTATGAGGGTAGCGTGGAAGATTGACGAGGAGGATGTCCGTGGAAAAGATCGACGGGAGGCGCGCTACGTCGAATGGCCGTCGTATGATCGCTTGCTACGGATCGTTGTTGTAAACAAAATAGAAAATAAGAGGAAAAAAAGAAGAAGGAGAAAACACACTAACAATGCCATGATTCCAAAGGAGGTACCCGTCTTTGCTCAGTAATCAGTTGCGTCGGGACCTGAAAAATCAGAGAAACGAATGTTAGTGCCTGTTCCACGAATGTACAAGGTTCATTCGAAGATGGTTTCAAAATACTGTGACGATTCTTTTTCTCGAAATTGCTCTTATATGGTTTGGACGCGGAAGAATCGACTTGGAGGCCCCTCACACCGTTCATCCTTCTCATACAGGTAAGAACTTATTCATCTCATATTTTCCTGATTAGGTGGCGAAAACAAATTACGTACTAAATGATTTTTCAATGGACGATTTATCGACAAACGGGTAGGAATTTCCACAGCTGCCAAGTCGATTCTTGTTTTTGGCGTTACGAGGGTCCATTACCAACGACGATAATTTCGTTTTGTAAATCGAAGCCGATCGAGGCAGTGAATGACATTAATGTGCAATTTAATTGGAAGCGTAGATATTACTTCAGCGAGAGCGGCCACTGATTGATCGTCCGTGAAGGCCGTGACCGTTAAACGGTGGTGGTATTCACGGCCGGTTTAAATGGATCTAGAAGGTCGTTCCGATTCGAAACGGTCATTTAATCTTTTGGTCGATCGCTGCGAACGACGCGTTTAGCGCATGCACTGCAATTTAGATGTCCGATATTATATACGCGCGGCAACGACGAGCTTTATTAGCTGGTATCGCAAGATGCCATCGCAGCCGATTACAAACGCAAAACGCACAACCAAGCATGCATAGAGACGATTCCAGCGGCCATCTTTGTTAGTTGGACACGCGGCACGAGACACAAATGCGATGATTCTGCCATGCTCGATTAATATATTTCGGTTAATTGTCGTACTCAGCCTGGGAAATCCAGAAAACGGAAAAATTGATGTACAGGGCGATTCACCTATCGTGATTGCCTAAAATATTCTCTCGTGATAATTATTTCTGTGTAAATAGGAATTTCATTAATGTTGCTCGTTTCGAGCGGCCCAACAGTGTTCCTTCGTTCTCTTCCGAATTTATCTTGTGATCTTGAAATGACTTTCTTCGCAATGGAATTCAGTGGTTATAATTTCCTTTGTTACGTGTGCAGTCTCTAGGTAATTATACAGATTTGTGGAACATACAACCGAAGTTGTGGAAATCAGATAAGGAAATCACATCATAAAAAAGATCAGATGTATGACATGGTCAGTATTTTGTTGTGACAATCGTCATCTTTCTCGTATGCTTTTGGATACAATCTATTAGTGCGTCTGTCTATTACTCATTGTTTCTACTTGAACTACGCACAGTGGTACAGAATGTAGCTGTTTTTCATGGATTAAGTTATTTGTCAGCTATTACTCTACATTAAATTATTGGAAAGTATCAGTTTGACCATTGACAATTATAAAATGATAAATACTTTATACTTCTTAATATTTACAAAATTTTGTTTCGACGGAAAAAGTCTCAAAACTAATAACAAGTGTACTTTTTGGCTCATAAATCACTTGTGTGATGTTACAGGGAACGTCACTCCATCTTTTCAATCTTTTTTCGTGTCTAGATCCTCCTCGGTTGCACTAGAGTTCTTAGACACTTTACATTTTTGAAAACACAACTGATCCGAAAAGTATTTCAAGAACATTTTCATTATACAGGGTGTTCACTGTAAGACAAATATGTTGGATATCGTCAAGACGAACCCCCTGCATACCGTTTCAGCCTATAGTGAAACGAAACATCGCACAAAAGAGCAATCAAGCATCCTTTTTCCGTAGTCTTCACAGGAAGACATTTGCTGAAACAAGATCACCTAGAAATGATCTATGGATCGTTCGCTACGACTCGCGATCAATCAACAACATATCCGTCTACATCCCCCGTCGTTAATTTTCAAACTTCTCAAGCGTGGCGCTACTCCAACGTTCACAAAACATTCCCGGCCAAACACGGAGGAAAAAAAGAAAACCAAAAGTGAAACAAAAAACACTAGACTGCAATTGTTAATCGGTGGAGGAAACACAAAATTGAGTCGCGTCTTCGCGACGTCGACGTTAGTAACAAATTTCAGCAACAAAAAAATAAATAAATAGATAAAAGAAATTTTAACAAAAAAAAATAATAAACAGAAGAATAGAAAAACTCCGAGGTCATGGCTAACGGGGTCGATACATTCATGATGTATTCATATTCAAAATAAAATGGAAAAGAAAAACAAATGAAAGATAAATCATTCAAGATTCGATGGTGGCTGTCGTGACCGACGCAAATGTAATGAAAGATGCGAAAATGTAGAAAAAGGAGAGATCGGAGCCTTTTCATTTGAGACACTCGGTCGATTGTTCAGACTTTCTCTGGTCTCGTTACATTTTTGTATGCGTGTGTGTATGTATATTGTTCCTATAATAGGTGGCCAAATTTTTTATAATCTGTTTTCTTTATATTTTATTACGTATTTTCTTGTATATTAATGGAAAAATATGTGAGATGATATTGTCTGTGCTGGAATTTTATGATCGATTAGATAGTTGACAACGAAAACATAAAGTGAAATACTAACTTTCTAAATTTAAAGAAATTATTTCTCTTAAAAGTTCTTGTTTATTGTCCAAGTTTAATTTTCTGTCTTACAAATTCTAATATTTTCATTTGTAAAGTTCTATTACCTAAGACTGTCACAGTCTCAGAAAAGAAAATCGAAACATTTCGATCGTCATTCGACAGAGTGTCCCCCGTGAAACGGCTCTCGGAAGTTCGAACGAGGAACGGATCAAACGATCGAACAAAAAAGAAATCAGAAAAAAAGTAGAGAAAAAAAACTCGAAAGAAATAAAGGAACAAAAAAAAAAAGGACAGAAGAAAGAACAACACGAGAGTAAATGAATAAAGAAAATTAAAGAGCGAATAGATGGATATAAATGGAAAACGATATGTACCGATAGAAAAAAAAACCACGTAGCCTGTAGCCCCCCCGGGCCATAGTCAGCCCAGTCTTGCGAATGCTAGAGAAAATAGTTGCGCGAGGCTCGTTCCGTGGACCGGTTGCTCGCGGCCAAACACGGCCTCATTCTGCCCCGGGCCATCAGCAATGGTCGGTACTCAGGTGGTTCGCGTAGGACATTGGATTAGGGGACACGGAGGATTCGATGATCTTGCTTGTTTGCAGCGTATGGGGTACGTTTTTGGTGCTCTTGATCCTAGGACAAAGAACGTTCACCTTGTAGGCCCACGGGGGTCTTTTGCTTTCGAGGGTCTTGAAGGCCAACGACGGGACCACGTCGTGATCCAGAGGCGCTGGGGACTTGCTGGTCTTCCAGGCCTGATAATACGGATCCTCTTTGCTAGGGACTCGATCCTGTCGGGTCAGAGGATTACCACCAGCCTGGTACTCGCCACCGTTCTGATCCGGCACCCTTTGGTTCGTGCTTCCGTTCTCCGAGTCGTGTAACCTGCGCCAGGATTGCTCGCAGACTGGCGAATACTCAGGCGAGGTCAGGCCGCTCGAGTAGTTCGAACAGTAGCTTTCGTCGTAGTTGAACGTGTTGTTCTTCAATGGCAGACTCAGGTATTCCCTCCTGGCTGGCGACTCCGTTTTCTCCGTGGCCTCCGGCAAGATCGAGTCGTCGTTCAGCAGCTTGAACAATCGCGAATGCGTCTGGGTTCGCTGATACTTTCTGATGTTCTTCGAGGAGGTGCACTCGGAGTCTGTGTCCACCTCGGATATCATTCGACTCATGTCGGATGTGACGCCGCTGTCCTCGTCGTCGGTCTCCTCGCGGGAGTTCTGCACGCTTAGAAGGTGCTTCGGTTCCTTCGTAGATTTATCCTCCTCTTCGATCTTTCGTGGAGGGTCATTGCTCACCTGCAACGTCTCTGTTTGATCTATTTTCATAGGTGTGATCTGGTAATTGTCAGGGTGTTTCATGTCCTCGTTCCAGTTGCACTCGGACACTACGACTTCCGGCTTCAGGATGTTCTTGTTGATGTCGCATATGTCTGGGGTAGCTTCTATGATCTTCGAGTTCGTTTCTCTTTCTGTGATCACTGTTTCTCTGCTGATGGTCGAACTGTCCTCGTTCGACGTTACTGTGCTGGTGCTCATCGAACAGTCCTCTTGCTGCTTATCTAATCTACATTCCTCCTTTCTCGGTGGCTTCCTTTTGATCGTGAATTCCGTTTCGATGCTCTCCTCGCAGTTCATTCTGTTCATCCTGGTTGGGATCTTCCTTAACGTGAAGTTCACGTGTGGTACCACTGGATCCTCGATCCTGTCCATCTTGCTTTCCACGGTCTCCTCTTTCGTCCTCTCAGCCACGTGACCGTTTGTTCTACTTTTGTTCTCGGACGTTTCTTTCTTGAAGGTGAAGTCCACGCTGGTGTCATTGTTCACCAGAAAGTTCACCGAAACGTCATTCGGCTTCTCTTGGCTCCTGTTCTCTTGGCTCTTCTGGCCTCTCCCGTCATCCTTGCTATATACCCTTTCTGGTTTGATGGTGCTGTCGCCAACGATCACCGTGGTCACATCCTCGTTGTTCTCCGACACGGAGAACTTGATTCTCAGCGGTAAACTGACGCTGACAGTAGTGTTGTCCGTTTCATCAGGAGGATCGTCCGTTGCCTCGAAAGGCGTTTCGTTCCAATCGCACACGTTCTTCGGTTCTCGCGGTCTTGGATTCTCCGAGTCGTTTTGCTCTATATCCTCATAGATGACGCTTAACTGATGGGGGAACGTGGGGTCCAATTTATCGCATTCGATATGCTGTTCACCATTTATCTCAGGCTTCTTCTCCGACGACGAAACCGAGGACACTTTCCTCTGGCTATTCCTGTCGTTATCCTTCTCGAACTTCCCATGAGGATTCAAGCCAGTCGAGTAGGCCAGATAGGAGTCAGAATCCTCGCTGTCCGAGGACGTGTCGTCTGAATTATCATCACAGCAGCTCTTCGACGACTCGATGACGGACTCGTTGTCGTCGGTTTCCGACTCTGAATCGGTTGAATCGTTCGAGTCGCTGGTGTCTATGTAAGTATAGTTGGGAACTGCGACGTTCAAGCTATCGTTTGCGCACTTCGTGCCCACCAACTGGTCAGAAACATTCTCCACGATCTCTGAGGTCACGATCACCTCTGGAATCTCTTCTTCGTCCGTTATGTTCATGGCGGTGGTGCAGTCGCTGTCTTTGCTGTTGCTGCTCGCGGTCCTGGACACGCTGTTATTCTCTCTGTCCCATTGGGCGAGACCGTTCTGATCGATACCGTTCGAGATGTTAGCCTCGTTGCTCTTGTTATCCTGGTTACTCGACGGTGATTCGGGGTTGGCTGTCGCGAAGCTACCGCCCGTTTGTCCCCAGCTGTGACCGCGATTACCAGCTTGCGGAGGAACGGGGATCACGTACGGCGGTGGATACGGACAAGCATTTTTGTCTACACTCGTTGGATCGTACCGTGGGGAACCTGGGTAATTTTGATTGTAAATTGGAAAGTATATGTAGGCGGTGTTGTCAGGATGGTAGGAGTAGGCGTCGCTCGCGACGCCGGGATAAGGGAGGGGATAGTAGCCCCACCAACCACCCTCGGGACTCCAGAATGGAGGCGGACAGGGGGGATGGAAGACACCCTGCTGATTGCCCGGAACGTTATTCTCGGTTTGGCAGGTGTAATCTGCTTGACGATTTTCTTGCGTGGCTACAACAAACAGCACAATGCATTCAGACAACAAGTTCAACTGGTCCGATCTTGGGGTTGTGGTGTGGGCTTGCGTTTCTTCCATCTTCTAGCCCTCCCCGTTACCCCCCTCCCCTTCCCTACGATCCCTTTTGGTCAGCTTTGTAGGGTTCGGTTCCGAATTGCGGACTCAATGGAAGCTCGCACGGTAGACATTCGCTACGTGATTTAATCTCAGGTGCTAGGGGATAGAGCGGTGTGGACATACGGATAAAAATGTAGCTTCTTTACTATTTTGGTAGGTTGTTGCTCTCTGTAACCTAAATGAGGAACTAAACGTCTGTCGTCGGTGTCCTTTACAGCGTAAACTGGAGGTTCTGTGCCCGTGTTAATTAAGTGAACAAGTTAGTTTTTTTTTCCAAAATTCCAGTTTCTGTAGACTAATCGGGGTATCTTAGGTAGAAATATATTCTCGATTCGATTTGTCGCGATTATAGTAACGAGTCTCTCAATCCTGCTGTTCTCCTCGGGTCTATATGACCCGAAATGAATACTATATTTCAATAGGTATTATATTTTTATATATTTGTTTTTAGTATCCAACGTACCTACTTCAATTTTCTGTCTGCTTCTTATGTATTTCCCATTTATAAAGAACAAATAGTTTCAATGTTTGAAATAATTTTATTCGAAGGGACACAAAGTAAAGAATAATTAAGGGGAACAGCAGGGTTTAATTGTCAGTGTTTGGGGAAGGGAAATGGGAACACGAGGTAAATGTCTAACGTGAACGAGCTTCCGATAGTTAGGAACCCGATAGACAAGCGAGGTGTACACGGGACTGGAGCATCTGACGGCGAGGATAAGCGACGTGTAATCGGACGGTTACGAGAAAAGAAAACGTGTGTGATCCTGTGTTCAAAGGAAACCTTCGAAAATTTCGTCAACGCAAACACCAGCTCGTCGATGATCCCCGACGGGAAGATACTCGGCTCGAAGCGACGGTTAACGTTCGTGAAGGAAAACATGCTCGTAATATTCTGGACGGAATTCTCTTGTCGAGGTGCTACATTTCGTCTTCGTTAACGATACAATGACGGTGTATACGAAGGTAATGGCCGTTTCTTTATTAGACGTCGAGTTAATTGAACTACTTTTCTTAATTTTAAATAAATTTTTCTCGCTGGTTGGACGAAAGCTAGACCCGACGATCGTAGAGTGGTTGATCCTTTAAAAAATTATTTTTCTGTACCATGGTCTCGATAAACACGTAAATAAACAATTCATCACTTTTTACAAAATAGGGACCTCTGTTTTTGTATTTATTTTCACGGTTGTTCTTAGTTTCAAATTTTTTTATTCCACTGTGTATGTATTTTTGTATCTTTTTTTCGTTTCTAAACTTTCAAAGGTTGCAAAGATACGAATCACGGAACGCAATGAAGAAAACAGTGATTTTGACTCGAACAGTGAGGTGTTCACTGTAATTAATTGGCCATTACTTTCGGATACACTTATATACACGACTCGATCTATCTTAGAGAAATATTGCTTCAGGGATGTAATATCGAATGATTGGAAGAAAATTTCAGTTGAAATCTCAAAAGAAACCGAAAGTTTCAAGACTGCAAAATGTCAATCGAATGAATTTAGAACGGTCAGATCGTTCGGAAATATTTCATTAAGATAGACACGAGGTTTCCGGCCACGACGGCTCTGTCCTCTGTATCAGGGTCCAAAATATTCGTATCCAGATACATGCAAGTGATGCACTTGTCATTATAGAAATATTAAATCCCAGCGACAGTGAACACGTGAAATCAATTAATATAACATGCAACATTCCCGTTAAGTACCCAGTCCATTCGTAGCTTCCGCCGTATTAATTTCGATTACGGAGACTAGCATCGTCTACGACGATTGGCCTGCATTCAGTCGGCCGTACGACGATCGACTTGACATAACTACGGTATTACTGGATCGACGCAAATTAGATCAATGATTCACTCTCTGCTATACAGTGTGGAGCTTGAACACAGTTCGATTAACCGAGGCTTAGAATCAGCTGTCACGACAACCACAACTTCAGGTTCAATGTTACAGCTCGGGACAGTTGTCGCACAGAAAATGGACGATCTTCTTGATACGCATATTTAATTATGCTCTCGTGAACGAAAATTATTACAGGTCGTTTTTTTTTTATTTTACATGACAACTCTACTTATTTTAGAATTAAATGTCTACTGTTTTTGTTGTATTTTTTTTGTTGTTTTTGTGAACTGAACTATCTATGCAACGATAATTGAAGTGACGTGAAGTAGATGAAGAAGTAGACATAGAAAGAATAGAAAAAAGTAGAATTTTAAAGAAGTTTGCAAAATTGTGAAAGTCCATGTACATTTTAATACAGACATGAAACATTGAGAAAATATCGTCCATTTCAGGGGCAACCGTCCGACCCAATTACGTCGATAGGGTAACATCAACAATTTATACACACGAAATTGCACATTTTAGTGATTTCTGCCCTCGTTCACCCGTTAATACGGGTTTTCCAATAGAATCAATCGGTTCTCCGAAAGGGGGGTGGAAGGAATAAGGTAGCGCGAAGGTGTTCGAACCCGATAATCACCCCCCAAAATTTTCTTTTCGCCCGGGAATCGACCTGAACGCCAAGGAATTTTCGTTTTATTCCTGTGAACACAGGATTCCGGGAATAGTTCCAGCGACGGCACGCAATCACGATGTTACATCGGTTTCGTTGTTGTTGTTTTTTTTTTTTTTTGGTAATTAATCGTTCATTAGAGGTGGTGTGAGACGCTTTGTCACTGAACATCAATGGTAGAAAAGAAAAATATGGTCAATAGAAGCTTCTTGCGATTAATCCGATGGTCGAGTAGCGGTGTTTTTGGTATATTCTGCGGTGAATTATGACGTGTGTATATACAAGGTGTCTCAGAATAGTTTCGACTCCCGGGAGTGAGGGGTTCCTGGGATTATTTGGAACAACTTTTTCCTTAGCGAAAATATTATCCAAGGCTTTGTTAACGAGATATTAACGAAAAACCCCGACCAATTAGAGCGTGAGTCTGCTGGCTCGGGGTTTTTCGTTAATATCTCGTTAACAAAGCCTCGGATAACATTTTCGCTAAGGAAAAAATTGTTCCAAATCATCCCAAGAATCCCTCATTTTTGGGAGTCGAAGGTATTTTGGGACACCCTGTATACGCCCGTGTGGTCGCAATATATTGAGGTGACACACGATGTCGATGGCGGTCTGTTCGATGTACATATGCACTCACCGACGCTTTCAGGCGCTGTCATCGCTTGCAGTATCCTGAAGGACCTCGAGGGAATCGCGCTGCCCATGTATTTCTTTGGTTCCTGGACCTGTTGCTCGCTCGGCGGCAGGTTCGCTTGTGTTTCCTCTGGAAAAGACCGCGAGTCGAAATGAAACGTATTTAGGGAAGTGGTGAAAATACAATTGTTAAATCTATTACCTACGATTTTACTTACCGAAAGACTTTGAATTCCTGTTCTGTCTCTTGTTAATGGCGCTTTGTTGTCGTGGCGCTGTAACATATACGCGTTAACACATAATATTTATACAGTGGTTTGATATTTTCATAAATTAAATTGGTATAAGTTTCTAACCGAGACCTAATCCAGACCTTAAGTATTCATTTACATGAGAGTTGGTTCACAGGAACACTTCGTAGACCAACAATAAGGACAAAGTCCTTTAAAATTTCACACGTAAACATTGTAGAAATATAAGAAACTCACTCGTAGTCGCAACAGGGATGTCACCAGACTCGGTCATCGTTTGCAAATAGCGAAAGGCTCGAGACGGTATCGCGGAGCCGCGGTATCTCGGATCCTCCTCGTAATGGAGGGTGTTCTCATTGTCAACTGTAAAATCAAAGAAACTAATTAGAACCAGAAAGAAAAATTAGTCCAGAAACATTTTCCCCAGAACGCAATCGTACCTTGTTCCTTGAATTTATTCATCAAGATCCTGTCGTCATCTAGCAATTGAAGTTTGCGTATCTGATCTGGGTCGACGTCGTTCGTTGAGTCCGTGTCGGTGATTTTTTGAAGGACACGGAACGATCTGGATTGAACTGGCCCAGAGTCCGCCTGCACAACCGGAGTTGGTCCACGTTGCGGTATCCTGTTGGCAATCAAATCACAATCACCTTCTTTGATATCTCTGATAAGAATAAAAGACTGTATTACACTGCTAAAAAAAATTAGGGGATCGCTGATGTGAGTGCTTCTATTGCACCCACCGAGCAGAAGAACCAAACAGGTGCTATAGGTTTGCTAAGTACAACATTAACACCATTAACACATTATCTACCGATTGCTATTTAGTAGCATCAGTAGATCCAACGATCAACAGTTAAGAAACTATTATTAAACAGTTCATAGTAGCAAATTATATTTATGGAAAATAGCAAAAAACCTGACAGAATAACGTAACAATTGCTTCTGCACCCCTGATCTAAGTGTAATATTAATAAGGACTGAAATTTAAGAGCTTATTAATAGCAGTTGTATAAGAAATCTTTTCGGAGATTATACGTCGTCTCGACGAACAGAGTGACTGCAACAGATGATTCTCTAACTCTTTTGATCAGTGTTTGACAATTAGAGAAGCTTATAACTGATTTGGCAAGAGTGTCAGTTCAGGTGGTTCGTATTTCGACGAAACAAGTTACAATCGTTCAAATTCTATTGTCCAAAAACGACATTTATTACGCAACACCTGACTTACACTTTCACGGTCTGGTTCTCGGCGCCTTGCACGTTATTTCTGACCACCATGGTAGGCTGCGAGTACGAGGGATTCGATCCTGGTCCAGCAGCAGACTTCTTCTCGCTACCCTCGATCATGATTGGTATGATAAAACTGTTGCCACCTGACGATGGAGCTGGTTGAGGTGTCGGCTGCTTTTGCACCTGACTTTGCACCTGATTCTGAACCGCCTGCTGCCCCCATCGCTGCTGATGGTGGGGGCTCGGTTGCTTAAACTGATGGTGACCTTGTTCGCGTTTCACGTCGAACACGGACGGTCTGTCCTCGATCTACGGAGAATACGAAATTGAAAAATCCACTCGACGATGGAGGTTGTTAATTTCAAGGGAAGTTCGTTTAGTTTAAGTGACGACCTAAGGGGTGCAGTTCTTATTAAAAATCTAAGTATTGATAAAAACGTTTCTGACAAGTGTTGAAGGCAAATGGAGATGTTGGCCCAAGGTGCATCAATTCCACGAGTAGGTAAATACAATAAATAATGATTGTTCGAACTCTCCTGGGCACTGATTGTTCAGACGTCATCCCCACCACTGGGGATCCCCTGTGGAACCAGTCAAGCGTCCAGTGGAGGGTATGATATTTGAACACTCCGTGCCGAGGAGCCTAGAAACACTCATCGATGATTTACTATAGTTTTAAATCAGACATACAACATAGCAATCGAGCAAATATAGCACTAATAACAGATAAAGGAACTCACGCGGATCGGTATCACGCGTTCTTGCGTCTGTGGGCTAGCTTGCTGGGACACCGGCGGACTGGAGTATGGGCGTTTCTGTTGCTGTTGATTCATCTGTAGAGGCTGTTGGTTCTGGTATTGCTGGGGCTGCTGGGGCTTCTGCTGAGCTGGTTGCCACTGAGGCGGTTGCTGCATTTGCTGAAATTCAGGCAATTCCTCTTGCGGCTTGTTCTTGTTCTGGAGCCAGGGTGTCGGCGCTTTGGCTAGGGTAACTTGTGTCGGTGTGCTGGGACTCTCTGGGCTACCTGGTTGAACGGATGTCATCACCAATGGCGCCATTTTGGTCTCCACTTTTGTTACTGGCTTCACTGATTCCGGTTGCTTCTCTGGAACTGCAATTTGTTGAAGATCTTTACACTTTTGTTTGTTTTTTTTATTAGGATGTAGAAGATATAAGTACGGTGTTTTTTTTATGCAACAGTAGCGAACTGAGCGAAAATGGCGCTACCAGCAGGCATCGTAGTCTCCACAGTTAAAATTGTGTTACGGATACTGCTGACGTTGTGCTTGTAATTTTGTGACGGAATGTTGACGACGGTAACGGTAATCGATTCCACAGTCAGCACAATACGATAGCATTCTGCGATGAAGAATTAACGAACTGAATAAGCAACTAGTGGAAAGAATGCCCAGAACCCTCGTTATGTGACTATTGACCTCCTTATCGTGATTACAATATGTCTCCAAAGTCTGATCACTTGTTTTAGAAACATTCTGTATGTCGTAACCTCTATCATAATTCAATTAAACAGCACATTTTTTATCTCTCTGCCACTAACAATAGAGATCCACACGGTTTCATGAATATTCGTAATTATTTCCGACACTCAGTATAAATTAGTATTTTCATATTTCGGTTTCTATAAGGGTTACGAAGGTACAACCGAAAATACCGGTATCATACCGGTATTTTACGTTTCGATAGAAGTCCCTGCTCGAAAGTACGTGTGAAAGGGACGTGCCTCGCGTGGCAATATGTTCAGTGGCAATATAGTAAGAGTCTACTGTATCTCATAGAACCCAATTATCTCGACTCCACTCACCGTTCGATGGGATCCTATTGGTAGGAGGTGTCGTGGGTGTTCTGTTAGCTGGCGGTGTCGGCGGTGTCCTGTTCGCGGGGGGTGGAACTGGAATATTGGTCGGGAATACAGGTATCGCCACCTGTGGCTGAACAAACAGATTCGCCGCAGCGTTCGACGGCGGTGTCGGTTTCGTCTCGAGCGCGGACTTCGGCGGACCCTCGATGCCTTCGTCGTTTGCGTTCTTCGCGACTCTACGCGCCATTCGGGGGCTTCGGATCTGCGAAAGGTCCAGCTTGCCACCCATTCCAGGCGTGTACGTGAAAGGCTTCTTGTCCTTCGTCAGCATCGCGTTCTGAATGGCCGCTGGCGGCTCGTAGACATCGTTCGGAACGAGCTGCGGCCTTCTTATCGTTGGCGTCTGGGTTCAAAGGAGAAATACCACCTTAGAGCGTGTTTAACGATGTTTTTTTTTTTTGTTACTGTACCATAGAAATTGTACACAATCCCATTTAATCGTATATAAAAGTTTAATTTGGTAGGCTATATTCAATCAGATTCATAGGAAAATAAAGTTAGGCTACTGTAGGAGACAAAACGTGTTGAAAAACTCGATTCCGTTTCAGAGTTAGAGAATCTTTTGTAAAATTACCATTGTTAATTTTTTTATGTCGTTTCTGAATAATGCACGGTATTTTGTATATATTCTTGATAAATTGATGTTGATATTGACATTGGTGAATGATGAGGGCAAGGTGAGGCTTCTGGGTAACTTTTACCAAGAGACGTAAATACAAGTAATAATAGTCGAAGCATATGTGTACATTCGTGTGAACTTATTCTCCATTCTTCAATCTACTACTACACCACATACTAACATTTATAGAGGAGTACGATAATTTTATTAAAAAATTCCTTTGTTTCTTTCAACAATTAAATTATACTGACACTTTCAGGATTTACATAAACATTCCACCATCCACAACTATTTTACTAGAGAATTTCCTTTGCTTCTCGCAACAATGAAATAATACTCGAACTTTTAACATTTCCATAAACATTCCAGCGTCACCCACCACCCAGAATTAACATTCGAAAGCACTTCTCTTTTCAATAATTCCGAACCAACCCGACTGGAAGCTTCTAACAGAAACTAAACTCATCGTGCCAGTCGTCATTCACCAAGCTACCACACACAGGTGTGAACCACAATTCGAATTACGCATGTATTATCAACCAAGGCACTCAGCCAACATGTTTAATTGCATGCAAAACAATTTCACCGACACTCGTTGCTCCTTATCTCTCAAGGTCTCGCAGCCGAATCCAATAAAGAAAATTAGATTTTTACTTCGTCGAGCGATAAAATCCGCGGGAATTTCACGCAACCGTTTATAAATAATTACTAAGTGATGCACAGAGAAAATTTAAAGGAATTTCACGTTCTTTCGATCTCTCACCATGTTGAATTTCCACTTTAAACGAGGGACAAAGGCGAACCGTGTAACTTTTTTTCCCTTTCTTTTCTTTTCTGTTTACTCGCGTCTCACGGCGAATACAACGGTGTGTTCAGTCGCGGACTGGTCATGAAGGTAAACTGACACGAGGTGCCTTACCTCTACGGTGTTGATCCTCATCGCCGGTACCTGGCCCGGCACTGGAGGCGGCGGCGGTGGAGGTGGCGCGGGACAAAGTCCTGGAACAATTAGCGATTTAGCGGAATGCTAACGAGGTGGCGCAGGTATCTGCGGATCGCCTGCGCATCGTTCTTCGTGGCTCGGCGAATAAGTTGTCGATCGGCAGAAATCGGTGGAGAAAAGGGGCCAGAAATTCGATAACTTTTGTTCGTGTTAACCCATTAAGTCCCAAGCAGTGAAATAAGGTGATTTTTAATAGTGAAAAAAATATTCAGCAAATCTTTGAAATCCTTTTTCATAACTGCAACACGAAAAGCAGAATTCACTAATGTAAATTCAATGAAAAAAAAATTACGAGTGAAATGTTGCGTTAACGCAATCTTGGGTCTTAATGGGTTAATTCATTGTACCGACCCGAGCAATTTGTATTGTATCAGGTGTATCAATAAGTAATTCGCTTTATTTTTCAATTACGATGTGGTCCATTTTAAATTAAAATTATCTTTCCGTGATTTTATTGAATGAGAATGGTGTAGAATTTTGGAAAATTATTAAGAAATAGTTGGATCGCTGTAACTGGTACATCTGATCTGGTGTATTGAATATTGTTTGCTACTGTTCGGTAAGTTTAAGTAATTATTCATAGATGGATGTGGAGGTACGTACCTGTCACTGGACCGTCCGAATTCCTGCAACAAGAAACACAATCGGTTACTTAGGTTGTACTGAATCAGATAAGCATGAGATGCATTTCTTTCGTTAGCCTTCGCATTTTGTTTGTTAACCTTCATTAAGATAGAATGGAGAAGAGTCTTAGATGCTCTAACAGTACAGAATAGCTGAACTTAATAATTCTAAAATATTATACTTCTTTTAATTTAATTTATTTATCTAGTCAAATAGTAACTTAAAATTTTTTTTATTATGTATTATGTATATATTATTATATTGTTCATTATGAAACAATAAAAGAACCTCAGAGACTCTTCTATCCGAATGGAGGTTAAGAAGTCGCGAAACGATTCCAGAGGATTCGGTCTAAACATGAATTCAAACGAAACGCATTCCTTGCTTATCTGTGGAACGCGAACGCGTTGAGTCACGATACTCATGATGCTTGGATCGGTGTATGTATGTACGTATGTATTTCAACGCGCCTACGCTCGCGAGAATGCGTGCTCAGGTATACCGTATGTTAATAAAAATGTGGGACATTATTGCACATTGCAATATGTACTGGGTTAGGTCTGGTAAAAATACGACGTGAAATAGCTTCAGAAGAAACGTTAAAATTATTGCACATTGCAATGTGTACTGGTCTAAAGAAGTCAATGTAATAAAGAAAGAAGTCATGAGGTACCTGCATTCGCGCAGTCACCGATATAAAGTTTATTTAATTTTCGAGTGGATCGGTCTCGAACGTGTGTACATATGTATACACTTCACTGTTGATTTACACGAGCTGATGGGTAGTAGCTACCGTGCGCACGCCGTGTCTAAACTGCTTTTGGAGTTATCAAGGAACGAGCCTCGAATGGTAACCTACATTGTCACGACCGCGAGTTATCTCCCGATGACTCGCTCCGTGCTTCATTACCTAATCCTTTTAAGGAAGTTCCCGGCCCCATCGGAAGGTTGCCTCGCTTAATTACCTCGAAAATCACCGGGTTGTAATCGGCCGTCGAACGATTCGGTAGCGTAAATCGTGTTACTACGTGTTGCCAATGAGTCCGGTGGAAAACATTCGGGGCCATTTTAGACGTTAAAAGACGTTAAGCGATGACATGACTTTTGGGTAATTGTCTATATAGTATTTTATATTCTTACGTATATTTACAGGTTGCACGTATTTTGCAACGTTTTTGCGATTTTGTATTAGCGAACGCACTGACTTATTGAGTATATATACTTAACATTCGAACTACCAAACCCGTCAGAATGATCGATTTCAGACTTTTTATTTTACAATTACTGAAGTCGTAAAGGTGATTTTCAATCGTGAGGGTTGAAAATGGTCACTGAATTATTTTTGGAACGAGAATTTCGATAAATTAACCGGTCTCTTCGAATTAGCATTTACATATTAGAAACGTCAGAGGATATCATGATCAATTCTGCACGTCAAAACATTGGACGGAGTTCAAGACGGTGCCCATCTTTTTTAGTTTTATTTTCGAAATGAGCTGTCTTAGGCGTCTATTGTTGGTGGAGGAGAATGACACGAGCCTATTGGAGGCACTGGGTGGTCCAGAAGCGATTGCCATCTAAATGTCTCCGAAACGGATCGAGTGGGAGTGCCATTTTCATAAAGTGAATCTTATACCGTAAAAAAACGACGTATATTTTAATACAGAATAGTAAAGGTGACCTTCAAATCTCCGTTTATGAAGAATCTTTCTTCTAGATTTAGAAACTTCAAGATACTTAAAAATATTGAAGTAATACTTAATGAAAGCTGTTGAAATGTGACCTAAATGTTTGGCGATTTATCACTTCGGATTAATACGTCAGGGCCATTTTTTAATAGTTTCATGTTTCTAGACTACTATATCTTCATCTGAATAAATAATGACAAATTTAGAACATTATCTACTACTTTAATAATAGAAAATAAGGGGAAAAAGTGATATACATTTGTCCATTTCTTAAACCAAACGAAGTGGGGGACATTTCTCAAGATTTCAATTTAAAAAAGTTTTGTTTATCTCCATGAGTAAATTATTCGTTAGACCAATGACTGAAACTAAAACATCAATTTGAATGATCCATAAGACATAATGTCATGTTTGATGATTTCTTACTCTGGACCACTATGTCTTGGGCCATATTTTACTAGTCTGACTTTCCTAGATCACTATACTTTTATTTGAACAACTCATAGCAAACTTCAACATTTTAAACAAGTGAATTTTCGCAGATGTTCGTTGTCGGTTTTTTTTCAATGGTTCACGATTCGTCCATGACACGAAAAGTGGTCGTGCGTGATTTCGTTGATGAAACGCCGTTTAGTTACGATTGTGATGATCCGCTATTTAAAGAGGCGATATTTTTACAACAGTTTCAAGGAGCAGCCAGCTACTATCTGCTTAATAATGATAGACCCCTATTTTTACTGCGTTCGCCTTTTACGACTGTTCGGTGATTGAACTTTTTAAAAACAGTTCGAGCCGCTTTGAAATGTAAGACAAGGGATGATGATCGATTTAGTATTTCTTGGAGACCGAAAAAGTACCATTTTATGCCCTGTACTATAATTAACCTGTGGAATTATAGACTGTTAAATTCGACTGGATCAATCGTGAATGATAAAAAGATGTCATACAATTCGGATATTGTGTTTTTTTGTCGATGGGTCATCGATGATCCAACAATGGGAATGTGAGGCTTAATTAATAAAAATTTGAAGAAACGTTGTCAAAACTCACGAATTTTGAGAACACAATTTTACTGGACACCCATAGATGTTGAAGAATTTTTAATTATTTCTCGTACCATGTGACCAATTTTCTATTGGAAGCTATTTATTTTATTTCTATGTTTTTCCTTTTTTATCCTAATTTCAGGATTTTCAAGATTATCTTTGAAATTTTCGACTCCTGTCTCCTTTTATTCATAATCATATGATATTTCTCTACTCTTCCAAAAGACAACATGCGCATTTCAGTAAACTTTTAATCAAGATTAAAAAGATCAAGTCGAACGTCAAGTCAATTTTAATATCGATTTCAACGAAGTATCAAGTTTCACTGATTTAACGAAGTTTCTTGGAACCAGTATTAAGTCAAACACGCGGATATCCATCGTGAAACGAGCGAAACGGATGGTAGACTTCTGGTCTGCGCGAAAATCCGTCGTTTATAATAATAGAATACTGAAGAACGCGTAACAGGGCCGCTTTTATTTTCGCGCCATGATCACGGCACGTGCCGTTTTATGTGAACGGCCGGGACTGTTTCGCTCGCGGAAGCTTCGCGAATTTTTCTGGTAATCGGACGCTCTGCCTCATTTTCGCATACATCGGTGTGTTCCTGACGTTTATTCTTAATTATTTCTCATTCAGATATCCAGGGACGTGTTAATGTTCGATCGTAGAAACATCGGTTCTCCACTAATTTTACCATCGAAAAAAGGACCAGTATCCACTTGATTTTATTTTGAGTAAAATATGACAGTGTATATTGCAGAAAATTTTCATATTGTTTTAAATGACAATAACTTGGAACTTTTATCTGTTTTCTAATATTTAAGTACTAAAATGAATTCTGCAATAAACAATATATCCGTATCAATTCAAATATCGTAATATGCGAAATATGGACCCTGATCCTTTTTCCCCTGTAGGTACTCTTCAATGTCAGTGAACGGTCCTATTATTTTAGTCTGTAACTTCTCTAGTTTATTGAGTTAAAAATAAAACAAACAATATTATTACATTTGAAGAAAGTTTCTATTTGGCGTAAAATATTCGGCAAACAATGCCTGAAATCGACAGTCTGAAAACCATCAATCCGAAGCAATATGGCGACTAGAATGACATAACTTTGAACGATATCTCCTCTGATTCTCGCATAAAAGAAGATTAATGGGTTCCCAATTGATACTTGCTGTCAGGCGGGGATTTGCTGATCGGTTTTAATCTAACAAATGGTTAATCGTTTTAATTTAACAAAGTATCTGTTGTAAGAGACGACGCTATGTAGTTCTCCAGGTAGGATAGGGCGTGGATTCCCGGCAGAAGTCGAACTTTCTCGGAAAAGCTCGGTCACGGCGAATCGATGGCGCGATGTCGCGATGCTCGGAACCCAGCCAACGCAGGCTGGTCGGCTTGTACAAGTGTATTTAGGTAGATACGCGAGGCGGAGTTAAATTTAGAGCGGGCCGACCTGCGCGTTACCGTGCCGCACAAAATGCTTCCGATTATTTTATTTTTGGGGGGCTTCGACGGTCGCGCCGCGGTTTTTCCGCGGTGGTGAAGACACCTGACGGTCGAATCAAGCGGCCGAATCGCGAATTACCGATCACGATCACAGCCAATGTCCACCTGATCGTTCTTTAAAACTTGGTGGTTGGTTATAGAGAAGGTACACAGATGTACAGGGTGGTTCAAATAGAGATCGGGTTCTAAGAGGACCCAGGAAGTGTCCAAGGTAGTCAATGATTTTTAAGGGACCAGAAGGATCCAAGGGAATGCAAGAGAACTGGAGGATGCCTGAAGGCTCCTAGAAGAATAGATGGATGTCTGGAGGTCCCTAGATTCTATCCCTTAGAAGGATTTCTAATGACTCCCAAAAGAATACAACACCCAAGGTGTACCTCCAATCTCTAAGGATTCTTAATGAAATCTAGAAAAATAGAAGCATCTTTGAAGGTCCTAAGAAAACCAAAGGTTTTCCAATAACTCATTTAAGGAAACATGACAGAACCCAAGGATCCCCAAGAGTTACCAAGCAAAGGGTTCCTCAGAATTCACAAGGAAACCCAAGAATTTCCAATGACTCCTGATTGACAGTGATTTGAAACGATCGAAGTGATTTGCAACAAGTTTTTCCTTAGAAAAAATGTTATCCGAGCTTCCGTTAACGAGATATTAACGAAAAACCTCGACCAATCGGAGCGGGAGTCTGCCAGCCGAGCTTCCGCGGTAGCGTTGGTTACGCGCTGCGATTGGTAGCCAACGCTACGGCGGAAG